TATGGGCATTTTTGGATTTCGATTCTCACTCTTTTAAAATCTGATCTACGTAGACGCCTGGACTAATGATAGAAAAAGAAGGTTGAATGGGTCAACCAATTAACTTACCTCGAGAGCTTCGTTGGTCTTGGTGCGTTGGTACCTGACAAAATATCGGCAAGGGTTCAGAAAATTCGACGGACACTTGTAAACTTACGTCACTTATGGGATAGGTGAGATATCCGTCTACGAAACAAAGGGTGAGTGTAATGCCCAGTAGTTCACTCAGTCCTACTTCATATGCGCAAAATACGACAATTAAGAACGTGAACTTTAAAAGTAGAGGATTTTTGTAGGCTAAAGTCTTCCATCATGGATGCCTTTGTGTATGTGTCAGGTCAATTGATAGGGTCAAGAATCTTTATCGAATAAGATGGGTAGGACATGTGTTACGTATTCTTAATCATTGCCTATCCCGACGGGATATTCTTTGATTTATATGAGTACGACGGAATAAATGTGACAATGGTCCACGAAGTTATTGACTGTTTGTCCGAGCTATACTAGAATATACATATGACTTGGGTGATAACCGCAATTATTGGTTCAAGAATTTGTGTAACATGGCTCATAATCGTTCACAATTTTGCAGATACATCCACTTTTTATCCAAAATTCCAGTAGTCCTTCAAACATGACATTCCACTCTATCTTTTCGAACCGTATTCTCAATATTTATATTTTACTATTATCATAGCTACTAGATTATTTTGAAATTCATCTGGTCGTGCTAATGTGGTATGGTAACTAGGGTCAACGCACATATGTTCCAGGCCTTGCCTTAATGACAAGTAACTGAATCAAACTAGAGGTCACGTACAGCGACAGACGCAATGAATCATGATTATAACTTACTGAAGAAGTTACGGTCATCTAATTGATAAAGTGGAATACTTTGGCACTTTATATGCTACACACTTAAATGAATGATACGATAGAACGTAAATGTTCTTATTACCTTTTAACGAATGTTATATCAGAATATGTGTTTTGATTTTATTTCATGATATCTCATACAGTTTCCAACGTATATTTAAACTGAGTATGCACCTTCCTTGGAACCCAGAAACATAGAGAATGGTAATATTATATGGAAAGCCTAGAAAAAAGCTCGATGTTATCATAATTTTAGTCAGTTATGGATAACTTGGGACCCGATGTGAATTTGTATCCGTTCAGTTCGCCATACTAAATATCAACATCCCGAAAAGGGGAATGAACGAGATAGAAATTTGAAGAACTGATCTTTCCTTTTCGTTACAGTAGGAAACTAGATGTAATGGATACGTTTCAAAAGAAATAAATGAAACTAAAAAGTAGAAAAAACATACAGTAAACTGAAAATTGAAAAACGATATGAAATTAAACCGATTTTAGTTTATGTTAAATAACATCTTCAATGGTAGCTTCGTTGGTCAAAATCAGGAAATCTGAATGCTTTAACAGTCAATTCATCATTAGCTAATTATTTGTAACATCAGTTCAGTAATAAACGCTAAGAGATTAATACACTTTACAAAACAAAAAGAAATGAATGTATTAAAGAAAAATTAGATAATGTGTAGAACGAGGTTATAACTAAGAGTGAAGTTGCCATGTCTAACAAATTGAAGTGAAATTGTATAGTGTCAGATTTGTAGTATTATTTAAGTGTCAAACTCAATTGTAATTCAAAATTCTCTTCGATATTCTGTAGTAAACCTAGTAATTTTATCAGCCATACTGCAGAATGGTTTAAAGGATATCTCTGACAGAATTATTTTTCACAATGTTAATCAAATATAACCATCTAACCTCCTTGTCTTTATGCTTTATACTTTCTGTGTCATTTATTAACTTAAAGAGAGCAAGAACAAAGATTGGTGCAGAATAATATGAATTCATTTTATTTCGTTAGGTTCTCATCAGCTACTTACAACCTAAATTATTTGAAATTCAAAGTTATTACAGATATTGACATATTTATTGCGTCATTACTCCAACTCTTTGAAATTACATCATACATAACTGACTGATTTCAATTCATATTTTCTTTATTACCATTAATTTATTTTCATGAGTTCTAATCACTATTTCAATGTTCCGGAACTCTCCCTCTCAAACTCTATTTATTCGAGGCAAAAAATTGTATGACCTCATTAATCCTATCAGAATCTTCGCTACATTTATTCATCCTTAATCACTCTCTTATGTATAAATATGTCAATATCTGTAATAATGTTGAATTCTAAATAATTTAGGTTGTAAGCAGCTGATGAGAACCTAACGAAAAAAAATGAATTCATATTATTCTGCACTAATCTTTGTTCTTGCTCTGTTCAAGAAAATAAAGGGAACTATGTGTATGAAATGTCTCATTTATTAACCATGGAGTTTTTCTAATAAGTACTTGTCACTTGATTAATAAGCAAAATTTGGTAAAATAATTCACATTTCAATTCCTTTATTTATTTCAATTAAAGAGAAAAAGTAATGATTATTTTATACTTTTTCAAATTTTATTATAATTAGTGAATTACTAAATTTTCTTAATTTTTTTCTTCTTCATCATTAATTTAGATTTCAATCAACTAAAGTCTATTTATACAAAACTATTGAAACAATGTAAAATATGGTCTGATAAACTTGTTAGAGAATTGGAAACTCGTAATCATTTGCTTATTCAATTACATAATACCTATGAAAGTATTAATTCTTTACTACAAGCAAATAATAAAAAAAATGGTAAAGGAATAATAAAATTTATAGATATTTTTTTGTTTTTCTGTTTGGTCATATAATTGTTCAATTGTTTCACAATGTCTTCCATTTTATATATTTAGAGTAGAAATTTGACTTTTTTGTAAATACTTTTTGTTAAAAAATGAGTCTATGTAATAAAGTTTAGAAAAAAAATATTGGCAATCATTGAATAATAAATAAAGTAACATAGGACATTAAAATGAATTTTACTGGGTTCATGAAATTGCAATTTATCTAACAGTATTTACTGTTCCTCAGTTTAACAGCTTTAGTTGATTATGAGCTTCATGGAATGTTTTATACAAACCCGTGTATTGCAAGTTTGTTAAATTTTTGGGATTACCAGTATTCATACACTATAAGCTGTTTTGGATCTAAATTTCAGTAAACTTCAGTTTACGTTATTTTATTTAAAATATTTTCAATGAAGGATGAACTAGACCATATCAATTTTTCATAAGTGATCGTCATTAATCCAACAGTTAAATGTTTCAATTTATGTTTGCCTACTTATAAGTAAGCAAATGTTCTTTAAGAAATGTTTAACTTTTCCATGCTATTTAGTAGCTGATCTGGTGTATAAATTTATACTCTGTAACTAAATAGATTAATAATATTAGCAAGTATTCAGAATACATTCCAAATTTTAAGGATTTAAGGATAGATGTGTTTAAAAAACAGGTTTTCAAACGACTAGTGGGACTGACTTAAAATTAGAATCATCACTCTAAAGATGATGACCAGCTAATCTTTTCACTAAAATATGGAGTGTCAGCTGAATTATTTCAATGTACTACAAGTGTAGATTCAACAATTTAATTTTTCACTTTTGACTATGAGCTCTAACATTTTCTTCAAGACTCGTATGGTTACTCTATTCGTACAATCGTTTGATGCTGTCATCGGCTAGTCATACTATAGTTTACCTTAAAACTTTAGGAAGTATATTCATGACATTACTAACATTGTGTGATATATATCCTTTAATAAAAATGCTTAACGCTCGTTGATTTTAAAATATTTTCAATAAAACTACTGGTCTGTAATGTGTTAATAGTTTACTTCAAGGTTAACTGTTTGACATGTGTTTGAATATTTGAGTCAGAGTTCTTCACTATTTCGATTTATATCCTCTACAATCCTATCTTATGAAGAACTATTTAAATTATAATAAAATCCTTTTGATGAGATATCTTTTCATCTATGTTAACGAGTGATGAGTAACAAGATCGTTTCCGAAAAGAAGCATCTGTCTGTATTTTTTAAACAATGTCAAGTAGTTATACATCAGATGGGTTGAACAGTTTTGTATAAGCTTCGATATTTACTCGAATAATGGAAGAATCATTGTCCGATGTAGTTCATAAGTAGTTTCTTTAAGATACATGGTGAAACTTATTTATTGGATATGATACTTTGTTAGGAGTTTACAATTTTTGATATGCTATTCATTGTGAAAAAGGAACAATGAAATGAATGAACAGATTGATCTTATACAGATCATCAAATTAGTGGTAATACAGTTGTGGCTGAAAAGAAATTTACGAAAAGTAATTTATGTTGTTTTATTCATTTACTTCCTTACTTCTTATAGGATAACGTATAGGAAACTGAAGATTTTAGAGAGCTGAAACCACTAATATTGAGCCATAATGTTATGATTTTCAGCCTGAGTTTTCTAGAAGGAAAATATATAAACTTTTCCCATTTCAATATATCTCAGCCTAACACAAAAGAATAGTTTAGTTTTTCAAATTTATTGCTTTTGTAATGGATATGTTTAAGAGTAAATTTTTCTCGAATTAAACATTTAAATTCTTGTTCAATAATTATCATTTAAGACGAATAGCAACTTATGATGGCACTAATTTATTAACAGCGTCAGTTCAGAAAATATATTGTATCGAGATTTACTCAATGTTATCTGGTTAAAAAGAGTGAATGACCTATGCTTTCTCAGTGTCTTGTGATAACAGATTGTTTATTTTTGTATGGATAAGTTAAATTTATCTTCAATATTATTCCATCTTTTTCTTTTCTTATCTACAATTTTACAATGACCAATCAGTTAATTAAATTGAGTAGTAACAAATCAATTTTTACCACTTTATGATTGGCTGTTTTTATTCGACCAATTATATGATAATGTCACTGAAGGTTACTTTTACCTAAAACTCAACTCAGATAAAAACATTTATAGACCTAACTCAAAATACGTTGAAGTTACACCTTAGAAACAAGCTTAGTTGATGAAGCACTGGTGTATTTAGTGTGATGTAGATTTTGTTTTCTAAAAGCTAATCTTGGAAATATATAAATGGAGATGTTGTCTGAAATGAAGCAAGAGAATAATTCAAGGATCTTATCTCATCCAAATAAACGGAATAGTCAACAGAAAAAATTTTATTCTAAATATTCGACTCGTTTATTTCAAAATCCTAGCAACAAAGGTACTCATGGACGTAGAGGACCTGGATTATATCGATCAACAGTGAATGAATCATCATTAGAACAAACTAGTTTGTCACTAAATCTACTCCATAAACGTTTATTTAAATTTAAACCGTCATTAACTCCTGGACTTGGTACAAGAAGAGTTGTTTCTATAAACCCAAGTAAGGTTTTATACAAAGTTTTCATTTCAAGTGTTATAGTAATGGGATTTCTTTATACAGTATGGTATTTGTTTACCATATAATAAATATATTCCAGATATACCTTTCACATTAGAATATATGATATTATTCTCATAGCAAAGTAGAGTTTAGTATGCCTTTGAATCTAATAGTTTTGAGTTAATATAATCGTTTGAAATGTTCCTAAAGGTTGTTATATAATTTAACAGGGTAAATAATTAATTATATAGATTTGTGATGTAAGTAGTTCAAATTTATTTTATTAAATACTGGTATATTTTATTGTTTACAGTGATTTGTTTATTTGTATTTCGTATTGAAATGCTATTTCGGTCAATTGTTTAATCAATCATTGATTACCCGTATACACATTTGTTTCGTTCCAACTTTTTGTTGGACAATAAATTCTGAATATTATTAGAGGATTAGTTGGATACTGTTGGTAGTCTTCTGTGAGTGTAAGAGTTGAATATGTTAAAAATATGCGTAGTACTGTGGGATAAAACTTAAAAATATTTAAACCTTTAGCGTACTCTACATTATTTGTTTGAAAGTAGATTTAGTTGATTATTGTTTTACAGTGACGCTAATAGCCACTTTTATAAATCAGTGTAATGACCTTTTATTGATCAAATGAATCAATAGAAGTTTTTGATATTTATATGGATGACCAGTTTAAATAGCAATAGAATTTTACTGAAGAAAGCATTCTCTAATCCTACATTCAAAGCAATTTATTTGTAGAATAAACTGAGTTGAAAGTGCAATATTTCACACTGATTGACAGTTCTCTTTAAATTTTGATTATGATGGGTTTTTTTTACCAAGTTTTCCAAACACACCAAAATATTCTCGTAACATTTTGAAGCTGCCCTTTAATATATCACAAAATTATTTTTGAAAATAACACTATAATACTGTTAATCTCAGTCTTTAGGGACCTGTAATCTAATTTTCGATGGTCAAACTGATGTATCTAATGGAGTTTCCCATATGAATTTGTTATGTTTACCATGTTTCTGGAGTTTAAACTTACTATCAGCGCTCAGCTGTTTACCATATTCTAGGTGTACTTTATTGAAAAAAAGAAATATAATGTTTAATACACAGATTTTTTAAGTTTTGGTCTGCATAGATTTATGATACTTAGTTTGTACTTTTGGAGAAAGTTATGAAATTGTATTCCTTGATGTACCCGAGATAAGCTTAGTACAAGTGTGTGAGGTCTGCCTAAAGTAGAAGGGTTAGTTTGGTCAGTAGTCAAGTGAGGGTGGTATAGACAAATAAAAGCAATACCCCAGTTTATCAAGGAATTAGACCATGTGAAGGATTTCAAGTTTCTGAGCATAGCCTAAAATGAAAATGGAGAACTCAACAATGGACTCCTTGTTCATTGATGATGCCTCAAGTGTAAATGATTACTGTTCATCGAGTTACTTCGAAGTTTTTCACATCATGAAATATACAAATATTTTTATTATGAACAAACGTCTGTCAGACAGAAGTAAAATCTAAGATCCTTAGTTGAAATAACTTCAAAAACTGACAAAAATTTTAAATAGTGGAGTATTTCCACGATGCAAGACTGAGATCTTTATTATGAAGATCGGTTTTACGTTTATTCACAATGCTTACACATTTATTATACAAAATTTTCGGGAAAGGTTATGGTCGATAACTAAACTTGACCTTACTATGTTTAATAAATGTACAAAGAATTATGAAATAAGACCTGTAAAATTCCAGAAACTTAGATATTAGGAATGTTTACTTTTTAATTGTGTGTTAATTGCACATTTTTTCAGAGCAAGATACAAATCTTAAATTCAGTATGGAGCCTCGTCTAGGTGATGAAGCATTCACTGAATGGATTAATGCCGTACGTCGTATGGCTCGTGTAGGAGATGGTTTACCACCAGCTATTCGTTCACGTGTATGGTCAACTCTTGCAGATAGACAATTAGCTAAGCAACATGTCGATTGGGATCACGAGATTAAAATGGCTTTCAATGAACCATCTAATCAAGATGATGATAGATTAGGTGAACAAATTGTAAAAGATCTACATCGTACTGGATGTGAACAGTTCGGATCAGATTCAGATCGTGCATCGTTGAAACGTGTTCTTCTTGCTTATGCTCGATGGAATAAACGAGTGGGATATTGTCAAGGTTTTAATGTAATAGCTGCCGGTGTGCTAGATGTTACTGGTAGAGATGAAAAAAAAGCATTCAAAGTAAGTGTAAAATTATATGGTTTAACAATATTCAGGTGTTAACTTGTACAAAACATCTCATGTATATACTTCCTTTGCTTTATGTTGTATGGTCTTGATCAACTATCTGGGAAAATTAACACTATAGCTATACGATTCTGATTAAATAGACTTCATTTATCAACTTTTTAAATATGTGATTGGTTTTAGAGCTTCTATCTCTTTACCAGAGATTATATACACAAATCTTGATGCAGAAATGTATTAAAAGGTTATGAGACTATAATAATAGAAGAATAAGTAGAAATATTACACGTTGATTGTTTTTCTTTTGATGTACAAACCATTTATATGTAAAATTTCAAGTGTCATATTGCCAAATTATCTATATCTTTAGATTAAAATTATAAATAATAATCGATTAAATTTCTGAAAAAGACACGTTTATTCTTGTCCAATTTATTTTAGTATCTCATATATCAAAATACTCTTCATATTGTTTTCCATGTTTGATTCATAGAATAGAATCGGGTTTTTACAATGTCTTTTTTTTAAACAACTAGAATACATAAATTACATTTGCTTTCGATTGAGATTTATTTACTTTAGACCGTTTATTATTCAGTTTTCTTTCATAAGGAAGTTATTAAATGAGACAATTAACTCTACCTATCCTAATAGTGATATCTTTGCAAATTATCAGTATATAATTGTACTAAGAAGTTAGTTATGTCATAATTCTATTGATGCAATAATAAATCAATCATATAAATATTCAAGTTTGCTTCTCCTTCTTCTTATTATTTATATCCAGTTAAATTGGAGTATACCCTTTGAAAAGTTAGACTTGAAAAGTGAAGTTCCTGTTGACATAAATAATGTCAACCTTAAATCATACATTATTTTTAAATACTATTTTATTAAATTTTATCATATAGTGTACTGTAAAAGTATTAATGAATATCACTTATATTATTGATGATTGATAAACAAATCGTTAATAGATTCACTCTTTACTTTTCCTATTTTACGTATCATTTCAACTTTAAATAATTTAACTGCAGTATGTAATAGGACACCAAAGACATTAATTTACATAAAAATGACTATTCAAGAATGCAAATATCTTATTTAACGATATTAATTTTTTTAGAGGCGAACTGTACTTTTGTGTATATAGCTATCACAATCGGTTGATTAAATTTTTTTTGTATGACCAGATATTGTTTGAAACCACTAAGAATCGGAAACTACTCAAAACTCGTTTCATCTCAGTTTAAGACTTTTTACCATTATGCACTCACTAAATGACACAAAGTTGAATTTAGAACCTCTTGATCTCATAATGAATACGATACTTAGGGCTAATTATTTATCCACTGCGCTTTTACTTTGAATAGTTATCTATTTGATATGAATTCATTATAAAAATTACTTTCAAATTGTACGAAATCATCAAACAAATTCCATGACAGATAAAAACCTATTTTTGTGGAATAAACTATGATTACATCATTAATGAAATATTCAAAAGTACCAAAAAAAAATACTGTTTCTACTGAAAATTAACAAATAAACTACCATGTGTTGATAATCTTCCAAAAAATTTCGTGAACACAATATTAATCAGTAGTACTTTTAAGTAAAAAGTATCATAAATTAAATATTCATTTTAATAAATCCGAAGAGATTGAATTGGTATTAGCACATGATAGTATTAATAAAACAAAATTTAAGGGGAATAATATAAGCTTTTTGTCATCGAATAATCTTTTCTTTTAATGGCTTAATAGCTAGTTTTTATCATATATAATTTGTCGTTGAAATTAAGATACCAATAGTATACATTGTTCAACAGTTAATCATCATTATTATTAATAATGAGGAATTCGTCTCAGATTTGGGTACATTTGATCGACTATATTGTTTGTTATGGTAGAATCTATTCTAATTGAATTAGAATGGCGATAGTAAATCATTCTGTATGTTTTGTTCAATTTATTGTACAGTATTTCTAGTACATTTATTTTTTACTTAATAATTATGATGTTGTTTTTTCAATTGTGAACAAAGTTATGTCATAAAATGCAAATTATATAGTGAAGATTAAAAGAGATAATCGTATAATATCATTCGAAATTTTAGATAACTAAGCTCAAATTCAATTAAAAAACAGCTCAGCTATAATCATTTTTCATACTCTTCTAAATTCTTGTTTCCAAACTGTTATTATTTTGATTTCACTTGGTGTTGTTGTACTTGTATCTACCCGTTGTTATTTAAGAATGCAATTGATCAGTATCATGTTGGCATATGTGCATCCTGTGCGGATCGCATCGATATAGCTTCAAGTCAAAAGCTTTTTAAACAAAGATGGACAGTGGCTAGCGGTGAAATCCAGTTTGACACGCGTTTCGTCCTATTTGTGACTCGTCGGCTGGATGTGCCTCCATCTCAGAGTTAATGTTCACTCTGGGACTCAAACTCAGTACCGTTCGCTTAAAACGCCATAAAGTTATCTACTTAGCTATTTTATTACTTTGATTTTCCGATATGAATTATAATTCTTTTGTTTATTATATTAATACTTTTCTTTCATTTATACTGACATAAAATGGGAAGCGTTGTTCTGATTAAACATTTGCACCTAGGTTTTATTTTGCTTAGGACTAATTCATCATGCAACTTTTCTACTCGTACTTTTATTATCCACAGTGTCTTCGGTCGCATAAAGAAACGTCATAATAATATTTTTTTGTTGTAGATCATGGTCTATTTAATTGATTATGTTTTACCGGAATCATATTTTGCACAAAATTTACAAGCATTATCTGTAGATATTGCTGTTTTCCGACAACTTTTACAAAACAGAATACCCGAATTAGCGAATCATTTAGATAATTTACAATTCAAAGCTGGTTAGTTTGCTCTTTTTCGATTTTTTTTGTTTTTATATTATTAGAAGGTCAATATTGTATCAGTCGTTTGATGTTATATTTCATGCCTGACACATTAATAAATATTTTAAAACCAGTATGTAGGTTTTGGAGATTGTTAAATACTGTTAAGATCACGAACAAAATTGAGTTGGAAGTCTGGCAGTATTGGAGAGATTCTTCTTCCTAACATTGGACTCGTCGCCAGCATGCATCTACAATTCCAACGTCGGGGATCAAGCCCGGAATCCCTGGTCTCGCACACGAACTCTTAACCTTTAGACCACTGAGGCGAGATTCAGTGGTGTACAAGTCTAAATTCAGTAATTTTGAGTTATCGAACTACTATCTTCCATTGTCTTCAGTCAGTATTTTCTTGACACTTGACATGGAGGAACTCCACTCCTCGTGGCTTCTTGTTTGATTTTTGAGGATTTTCTCTCGAAGCTGTTCACTTTTGAGCTTATGATGCTCATCTGTCCTGAGGCTGTTGAGATTACTCGGTGTTACCGAGAAGCCGTGAAGAAAATTAAGTTGATAAAAATCAACAGTTGAGATGATAGTATCAAACGTAGTGTATAGTTCAAAAGAATTAGATAAGATGGAAGAATAAAAAGTGAGACAACATTTATTATGAGATATAAACCGAATATGTCTACTCAGCTGAAACTGATTTTAATCGAAGCCATTGAATGTTTTGAGTATTACATTCTGCTGGTTTAAAGTAACTGAACTAAATAGTTTTCGCCTCTCGATTCAGTTTAAACTAATGATGGACTGATGTTATGTCCTCGTCTCACCAATCGTATCTACTTTTTAATCTAATTCTACCCTAGTACCTTCATGCAGTAGGGTTTACTGTTACACTATTTCACATACTATGTATTATTAGTAACTTACTTCTAACCTTGGCACTTATGGTTCTAGAGTATACTATAGGTGAACAATGTTTCACATCCATAAAGTTATACGAAACGAACTGACGCCCAGTGTACTGATCTTTCAACATCCAGTTGCATATTGCTACATAGGTAGTGCAAGTTGGCAAAGCCAAGGTAGGTTTTGGTGATGATACCGAGATTTAGTCATTTTATAAGATTTACAGTTAGGAGTGGAATAAAAGTTCCATGTACGCGCATACTAAGTCAGGTGATTCATCTAGTATTGGAAAATGATGGCAGTTAGATGCCCCATGCTTCTTAGACAGCATGATAAATTTAGTCTTAAGCACCGTTTTCTAATGATTTCAGGGTGGTGTGATGTCTAGGTAGAATAATTTTAGGCGATCTCATTTCTGGTCTATCCTATGCGTATTTCTGAACTATCTTTTAGACTGCTTATAATCTAATGGGGCGATGGAAACACTATTGACTTGATTGTCATAGTTTATCATTTGCATAGTCAGAATTATCATTATTAGCTTTATTCAGTATTATATTTTTTTGTACAATATAGAATTCTCAACACAAAGTATTTCAACAAGTTTCTGTTTCTTACTTCTTCGTCTATCCTGACGAAAAATATTGAGTGGTCGCCCCCTAGAAGTTAGCAGTCCAGTCAATCGACATCTGAATAATGTACATTCGTTTCGCTGCATATTGACAACAAACACGATGTATCTGATTGGGCTTTTTTTGCAACATGTACAGCGGAAGGTTGTAAACTTTTCATAAACGCACCTTAATAGTTTGTGCGATAAATAAACATAATGATGAGTTAAAACAAACAAAAAACAGATAACTTATATATATCAATTCAGTTTGTTTTCACCTTAAACCTATCCTGGTAAATATTATCTTATTATCTGGAGTGATGTGGTTTCAAATTATCTTCACATCAGTTCCTTATTATCCTTGTCTCCTCTTACCCTCCATTTCTAGTCTAGTTGACCTTTTTTAAATATAAATGTTCTTGGCAAGTATGTGTGGTCAAATTGTTCGATATGGATTGCGCTAATATACCACATAGCTCTGATAATCTTCGTGTTCTTATTAAACTATCGAAGTTTAAAATTCATTTAGATCTGGTCTGTTATTCATATATTTCTGTTTTTCAAGCTCTGACTTAGTGTTTACACAATTAAGTTTAGGCTTTTATTTTGTCCATATTTACTTACTGTTATCAGTGGTAAGTAGCATAAATCCACATGCTTAGCTTTTCTCTAATAGTTATAAATAGTTGTATTTATAAGCAAAAATATTTTTTGATTATTATTTATTCTCCTTTTATTAGAAAGAATCCTTTAGAGTTTATAGTAATCAGACCAATCTTCTCTAAATAACCTGTAAACACTCAATTGTCTAGTGTTATAGAAATACTTACTTAGTTTTCTCTATTTATGAACTATTTCACTTCTACCTCCTACTTAGAAAATAAATTGTTTTGAAGTTGTTTGTTGACTGGCTTGGAAATTATTTAACCAATTCAATTTATCGAAACATTGAAACATCTGGCTGACGAGTCCAGAATAAGGCGGAACGTACGTCCTCGACTCCACAGATAACCACTGTCCACCTTGCTTACATTTCAAACGGTTTATCTTCTCTTCCAATTATGTTTATATCGCTACGTATGTATACTAACTAGTTGTTCGTATGCGTATTTTATTATCCATTCATGATAGCTTTGGAAACAGATTGTCAGCTGACTGGAAGACAATTATCTACATATAAACAAGATATTTTATCGGGAAAAAGTCATGGCGCTTATGAACCTCCATTGATGAATGTTTATATCATTCAATGGTTTCTTACTTTATTTGCTACTTGTTTGGCATCTGACGCAGTTCTACGTGTATGGGATAGCATATTACTAGAAGGTTCTGAGGTGATCTTACGAACAGCTATAGTCATTATGGATTTCTTGAAAAGGTATTGGAATATATGTTGTACTGTAGAATCAATTATATGATTATAACAATAATTATGTATGACAAATGTAGTCAATTACTACTTTAGTGTTATATAAAAGAGATTAGAGTTTTAATAAGTTGTGGAACACTCTATACCCTTTTTATTGTTTAAAGAATAAAAAATAACAGAATTCATTGGTCAAAAGGAAATACAAAGTAGATTTGTTTTGTAGGAATCAAATTACTTATGCTTTCTAACACACTATTCACAGCAGTAATAAAGTTTTTATTTCTGAATAAATCTTAAACTAATAATGATTAACTTAAAAAAGACAGCATGTGTTGCTATTGTCATGAAATCATTTGTTTTCCCCATTTACCGTAGATTTATCATAATATCTAAAGTACCATGATCATAAATGGTTATTATCATATTTAGGGCAATAAAATACTTAGGTCTTGAGATATTGTTCTTCATAACGTCAAACTTGGTTTTTAACCGAATCGCACACTAGCAATCTAATATCACATGATTATCGCTCCACTATTCCAATGAAAAATCTTAATAAATACGATTCAAGGTGAAGTGAATGAAGATCGATAATATTTGAGAATAATCTTGCTACAAGATGAATTGGCTGAGATCTTGTAATTTTCGGGCAATTTTATTGCAGAATATCTTGAAACAACTAGAAGGTACATGGAATTACCGTATACAGTTTATCACTTACGTTAGTTATTATTTAGACCATAATAAAAGTATAAGTAGTGTTCGTTCGATTTCCACGGCATTTCATTTCCACTAACAATTAACATTAAATTTTTAATTTCATACTTTTGAATTACCCTGATTTTAAATGACGTGATAAAGATTGCTCAAATAAACTTTCTTTAGGTAAATTGTAGGTGAATTTTTTGTAGTATTACTACTGAGTGACATTTTATTGAACCACATTACGCAACTCTGTCTTATATAGATTCTCTTCAAAATTTATCTTGCAATATTACCTAACTCAGTTTTATAATTTTTATCAGTATATGTAGTTTGTTTACTGGGATTACTGAAGGGCTTGCATGTCTAATTTCAATAAACTTTTGAAAATGCACATCAATCTACTCCCGTATCTGTAGTTTAAAGTTACGCAACCTCTGCAAGGTCTGAGGCCTTGATTTCTATCCTTTGTGAGATCAGTGGTATATAATGTTGAAGTGTCCCATGCAAAGACGAAAAAACTATTAAATTCTTCCCGGTTTTCAGTGGTTGTCTAATTTTGGTCGGGTCTTAATCTTGATTACATTCATAATGTTTATTACCTGTCGGTTTTTCGAAGCATTCTCAATTCTATTTTGATCTAACCTCTAAATACGAATAGTATTTTAGACGTCTCTTTTTGTTACCATGTTCGTTTAATAGTTATTGTAAAAGAAAAATGTGCATACATACGCGATTATATAATTATAAGAATGATATCGCTGAAAAGAGATTTCTTCTTTGGATCGAATTGTTGTTACGATGACTCAATCGATATTTTTCATTAATAGGAAACAAGTTAACCTTCAATTGAATATTTAACACAAAATGAGATCTAATGCTTTTTGTATAATATTTTTCATTGTTAACAGTCGTTTGTTAAAGGTAAAATCAGCTGATCAATTTTACGCTACAATGAGTAATTTAATGTCAGAATTTTCAGAAGGTCGAATAGTAAGCAGTCAAGAATTAATATTTGAAATCTATGAACTAGCACCATTTCCTTATCCTGGATTGAAAGAATTACGTGAAAAGTTTATGTATAATATAGCTCCATTAGTTTTAACAAAACATTTAACTATGAATTCATTTAATAATAATACTATTGATGATCAAAGTCTTTCAAATAATGATGGGAAGAAAATGAGCAAATTTAATTTATTGAAATATTTTCCTTCAAATTTCAAAAAATCGAAATCTTTACAGTCGGATAATGATTATAAAGGTTTAACAAAGTTTAAAAATGAAAAGTAAGTGTGTTATCATTATTATTGAAGTGTTTATTTCAACTTTCATAATATTCACAATTGTCATTGGTTCTTTCAATTTACAATTGGTTGTAGAATTTTCCCTAAGTTTATTTTTTAAAAACTTATCCTTCATGTGGATAAAGGTGTAGTATTATGGAATCGAAGAATATCGGTGGAAAATAAAATTACATGTCCTCTCAATAAGAAGCAATCATGAAATTTTCATCATAGTAATCGATAACATAACAGTGATCTTGTTACTCATATTACCGGGGTACTATACTTTTGTTGAACTTGGAAAACGTTTTTGACCAATTTATTCTAATAGATGAGTTATCTCATCAGATTGGTCAATATGGGTGACTACCAAAAATGTATGCATACTTATTTATTTAAGACGATATACTTATATATACCTAGTATATGGTTTCTGTAGGTTTCAATATGCCTTTGTTATAAGTGCTCAGTTGACTGGTCCGCATTAACATAATGAGTTAATTGATAAGAAATGGCTATATTACGTATACATACAACTCCATTTTGTTGTTGTGAGTGACTAGAAATGAGATCCGTGGTATGGGCCTCATAATATTTGGGACTGATCTGTTGAGTGTGACTTCTTTTCAGTTCTTTTACTTTCAGGAACATCTTAGAAAAAACCATTCATAAATTTCAACGGTATTTACTAGAATCATACCACTAATAATTATGCAAATTTAACTAAAAATGCACTATGTATATAAATCATCAATTTTTTATCAATGTTTATATAGGCACAAAATTGAATTTGGCGAAAGTTTACCTGAGGGGAAAACACTATACAATAGTTGAATTTAGTAAATATTAAGAATAAATTAGATAGGAGTAACGAAATATAATCATATTTTTATTTTGAGTAGTAACAAAATATTTCACTAACGATTATTATGCTTTAGGCACATTTGAGAACCATAAGGCAAACACTTCATTTTCACAATGTCCATCAATCGTTTCAGATATAATTGTTCATTTGTTTCCACATCAATCACTCTTTGTTCTCTTTTCTTCGATCTTCTTAACCTTCTGCCCCCGTTCATTTTAGTTTCGATTGATGATATATAAAACTTAGATCTTTCAACATTTGTATCATATACCACACTACTACTACTACTACTACTACTTTCATAATACTCAGTTAATCTATTCACTTTTTGTCAGATAACATGTAGGCTTATATACTTCAATCAAATAAATATCACTTTAAAAATAATTCCGGTTTATTAATTAATTAAAGAGATATTTTTCTTCTCATATGAGATTTAAACAACCCTATTTTAAAATGCAAAAACTCATATGAATTACTTATTATATCACCACATTATTTCACCCATCAATCTAATAGGAAACATTATGGAACAAAGAGATGTGCGACAACATTTATACTGATGTTATTTGTCAATATACTGTAAATTAAATTGTTTTGTTTAAGAATTTTTGCTTGGGTCATGGATGATACTTTTTAAAACTATGAGGTAGTAGTAATTCGATGGACACTGTTTAAGCAACTGTCCATTGTCCTCTAGTTCTCAGTGGTTTTTCAATTGATGTCCGTTTATACAGTAAAACATTTTCATTTTATTATTTATTTAACTATAAACTGTTATTTCAAAGTAACATTTGATAATGTTTTTATCCATAAATTTATAGAGATAAATAATATATTACATATGTAATTCGTAGCTTGTAAATTGACGATAATGCTCGAATAGTCTTATTACTAACAAGTAGTTTTAATAATAATCTTGATCGATGTAGAAATGAACTAAAAAGATGATTAAACATCAGATTTTGTAGGTATAACCAGTTAATATTGGTGTTGTTATGAATTGTTCTTTTTTTTTACCTCTCTCTTACTGCTTTTCTATACTATTTCATTTTGTTTTCAACACAGTATCCTTATCTTCATTGAGGTTTTAGTCTACTATTGTTTAGTTTTACGTTTTATCAATAAAGTGTCTGGTGTTGTGGTTTGTTCCACTTATATGGACGGACATAAGTAGTATGTAATAGGAACTGGAAGTAGGATGTTTACCAGCAGAAGATTGAAATAAGAGAAGAGGTATGAAAACGAAGAGATATCGAATCTACAATAGAATTGAAAGAATGAGAAAGTATGTTAAGAGCAAATCGGGGAAGATATGCAAACGATGTATTGAATATATGATTTCCGTATTTTACAAAGCTACTGTGTGATTTCGCATAATACAATACATTGATTTTCTCTATCAAGTCTTCATTCATTACATTGTAATTCAATACCATCGTTATCCTCTTCTTGTATTTAACCTCGTTCATCATCATCTTGATGATGAGCATCGTAAGGGATTTCCTACTTTATCAGCAAATCATATGATTATTGTTTATGCACTTCATTTTTATGAACAGATCAATCTGATTAAACGGATAAACGAAAAGTAAACTGATATAAGTTCGTATCATTTTTGTTTAATTCGTTTATGATTACACTCAAATAAGTTCAGTCAGTTTTTTGTGAGTTATTGGAATTGTTGATGCATTCGTTTGAATTTTCATTTGAATAACCATGCAACAGTTTACTTTGTAGTCAAACTATCATAACATGTGTGTGTGCGTGCGATGCATAAAAAACACTAGTTCTAAAGTGTCTTGTTTATGTCTCTTAAAAAGAGAGTTATAACAACACATAGTTGCTGAGGCAACGTTTTTTTAAATATTCATTATGACTAGTTATGATTGGTTCTTTTTATGTTTTGTTTTTGAGTAGATATTTGAATAAACCTACTGGGTCTTCCAAAACCACCAAAGATGAATATAGTAAGTCTACTTCTGTATATTTTATGATTAGTATTACGTTTAAAAAATCGATCTTTTAGGCAGTAGGTGGGTTGGATATTATCACTGTTCCTGTTTAACTATACGAATGCCATGATATAATTCATAATATTAAGATAACTTAAAGTTTTCTTAGTTAATTGTCAACCTGAACTTTCGGTTCAATAATATAATCATCAGTATAAGCTGTTTATACAGATATAGCGTGAAAGTGATGACAGGTTATTGTTAATTGGAGGAAAATAAAGTTGAATAAGAATTATTTGAATTTTTCGGTCATTTTATACCATATTCTGCTTAATTAACATACTATTTCATGCTGAGAAAAAAGACATTTTAATAAACAATACCTATAGCCAATATGCTAAAATTATTATTCTGAGCCAACTTTTCTATTATTGTTCTGATTTATTTCTCTTTTACTCTCTTTTACTATGTCTGTGAAACATGGTCTTTAAAAGTAGAAGACATTGATAAGCTACAGGCTTTTGATCATAGCTGTCGTGCAACAATCAAGTGAGCACTATCAATGTTAGGCATAGGGTACTAGGCAGAGGTAAAAAACCGGTTAATAAGGTTGTAAAACTTCATCGACTGAGTGATCTAATATGCCTATCACATATCCTTACAACCTTTTACCTCAATACAAAGTGCTTACCAGTGAAAAATAATCTAGAATAAAGCTAGGGGCTTCCAAACCAAAACGTGATGCCAGTCCACGAATTCGTCATCTGTTGATCTGAATCATGTTGGTGTCTGCAAACTACTTGGTTGGTATCTATGTGATAACCATAAATGGTAGTTGAAGGTTATAAGTAACATGGTGCAGGTGTATAAAATTTTTATATTTCTCTAAACTTGGATTTATAGCATTTCTTCATACATATCATTTACTCTTTTAAACTGTATTTTCACTGTCTATTCTTTCTTATTATGACTGCTCTCTATTTTAACTCATTTACTACTCATCTTTTTAATTTCGACTAATGCTCATTTGTGCCAGGCCTTGAATTGATTATGTTTAACCCATCCATGTGACACTTTATGAATCAAAAGTAGTTTAAAAAGAAACTAGGAAGAGTTGATTTTGAATATCGTACTAGTTCATCAGTTTGCTTACTGACTGTTGTTCTCATATACACGAGGTGGTTTAAGCTCTTCTATTTTGTGTTTCCATGACGATAAGATGTAGGCTCTAAATACCATTGTCCGAAATTGTTCATAATAATTGAAATTTACATTAATCTACAATCACATCAAAAGGACAGTCATTTATGTCGTTCATTAACAAGTTACCTCGCATTACTCTATTGCAGTAATGATAGTTATCTTGTATAGGACAATAGTAAATTCTGTTTGTGTTTCCTTTAGAGAGGTGGTGAGATAATATACAAAAAACGGTTGTCACAAAAATACGAAGTTATGCCTTTTTACTAATTCAATATTACATTCATTGATTTACTAATTATATTTTTGTTTTTAATATTTCAACACGATATACAGGTAAAGAAAAACGACATTGTGATATAAAAAGCAGTCACTGTGTACAAAACACGGATAAGAGACGTTTGTCAACTACGGAATTAGATGAAGAAGAATGCATGGGAGATAATTATCAAGAAATTAGTTTGACTATGGATATGGATTCTGAAATAGGGACGTTTTCTCAAAAACAAGCTCTAAATTGTGATACATTAAATGGTCAGATTAGTAATACTCATTTTAAAGAAGCACACAATAGATCAATAAACCGATTTTCCAGTGATCAAGTTAGGGGAAGTGTCAAATGTTTTTCAGCATTTTGGCCTGACAAACCAAATAATATTGACTCAAGATTTTCTAATCAATTATATGTTACTGAAAGTAGTTCAGTGAAGTCATTACAATTTTCTGTTAACGATACTCTTCCTAGAAATGTATTTCGTCTGAGGAATATAGAAAGTAGTCCGTTGAAAGACGGCAGAGTAAAAGCGAATTCAGATATTAGTCAAGTAAGTAAACTACTGTTTGAAAACCTAGACGTTCTTGTAATTTCTGAATAATTAAACGTGCTTAGCAGGTTGCTGATAACACACTGTCTTTACGTATTGTAATATCCTTGAATTTTAATTTTATGTGAAATTTAATTTAGAAAAAGAGCGGTATTGAAGCATCAAACGTTTTACATTTTGATAATAAATATTTCATAACATAAGCTTTAAATACGTAAATGTATTGTTATTTATTTAAAGGCAAGATGATCTATCGTGGATTAACGGTTATATATTTGTAATGTATACTGTTGTTTTCTCTCTTAGTGTAATAAAATAAACATTTGGTTTATAAAATATATGCATATAATGCTACGTTAAAGTACTTTAGTAATATTAGACAGACTACCAGTTTGAATTATATGACATTAGAGGCTACATTGAAAAAATATTTTCGAGATATGTTTTCTAATGCACTTCACACATTTTAAGATTTCGAGAATCGTTATTTCAATCTCAATTATTTTAATAAATGTAAGTCTGTTTGCTTACAAATTTTTACGTATTAATATGTTTGAAGAATTTTTGGTCCGCATACAATATCTAAATAACAGTGTTGTTGGATTAAGAGCCTAATAAAATTTTAGGATTTCCATAAACGTTAAGTATGATAATTTTTGTAATTTATTTTACATCTGTCATGTATGTGATGTTTTTTGACGGGCGATGTCCAAAATCTGATACTGATACACAACGTGCTACGGGTTAACCCACAAACTGACTACTTGGGCGAGAACTCAAGAGTGAGCGAGAAAGTACATTGGGCTACCGAATATAATGCACGATTTCTCACTTATATATATAACTCTATTCTTTCGGAAGTCAGTACATTTACTAGCCAGTGAAACTCACTTGTTCTTCGGGTCACTTCTGGTTGCCACCGGTTGGCCTTCTCATCTGGCTACCTCTGATTGTCTGACCCTATTGCGATCGATGACCACTGACATGTGGTTACTTGAAGACTAGTATTAGTCCCACGGAGTTATTGATGTTTTTGAACCCTGGGACAGGAACATAATGTGTCGTTAATATGTTTCAGCAAGTTTTATCTACTTTAATATTTCTCTGTAAGATATTGCTGCTGAAGATGAAATATATACATAAGTCTCAGATATTTTTGTCAGAAAGAAATTTGAAAATTAACTTTTCTGAAATACCGTTTAATTCAGTGTAGTGACGCTTCAAGATAGTTAGTCACTTTCTTAGCTGACTGTAAATTTATGTCATATTGAGTAGTATATTCAAGTTACAATTCGTGAGAGATTATAATTTATTGCGCATAGACTGATTTAGTTTATTAGAGTATATGTTTATTCACTGTTGATCTTTGAAATTTTCGCACCTATTACTTCATACCTTTTCACTTTTCAGAAATCCATATTTAACTTCTTTCTTTTCGGGCCATTTATCCTGTAAACTGTTGACATGTATCATATTTTTTTATTGGGTTCTATGTTATTTTGTGTCTCTAACGTATTCACTAATAAAACCAGATCAACCTGTCAATTAGTTTCACAGATTTACATACACAAGGAACTCTAAATGTTTACATGAAGTACCTTACTGTGTGTATGATTCTGCATTTGTTTGATAACTCGACAGCTGAAACAGTTGGGCAGTCACTGTTAGATAAGCTACAATTCATAGGACACCGTGTTAATTAATCTAATACAAACAATATATTGACTTAAAACATTGTAAATTAACAAAAACGTTCTATACCAACGTTACCTACTTGTAAGTAGTATAGTCTAAAAAGAAGAAATATGACGGAGGTATTTGATGTATACTACGTATGTCGATAGACATAATTAGTATGTAACATCAATCAGAAGTGCAATACCTGTTAAAAGAAAGTTGAGAAGATTGAACTGAAGAAAACGGGAGGGGAAACATAAAGGAATGAGAACTCGAAGAGTCATGGAGTATGTAAAGGACAACCGATGGAAGATTTGTAATCAGAGTATGTATGTATCTGTAAAGTCTCAGCGAAAGAATTTGAAATAAATCCAACGTTTCGCCTAACAATTCGGTCCAAGCTTTTTCAAGGAATTTATAAATTTATTTCCCCCACTTAACCTCTTTGTTAACTAAGAGTCTACCAGCATTTTTTTTCAACTATTCTCTAGTTAGTCGATAAAATTGCGTTGAGCGAACAGTTTTTAATCATTTTTACTCATATTTTTGTTTTGAAATTTCCCCATGTCATCTCAAAAAAACCGACTTTTTACAATCGGGTTGTTGAACATCATTTGAAATATTGATGAAAGATGATATGTGTGTACGTTTCATGAAAATTTAAAAACCATTATTATCTTAGTGAATTTTTTTGATAACCTCGAAAAATCTCAGTGATAATCATCATGACATTGTATACAAGGAAATTTTAGACATTTCTGTTCAAATTTTATTGGTTTTGTAGGAAGTTGTAAGTGAATATCAGTCTTTTGTGGGGAATGTGCTGATGTATAAATAGTGGTGTAAGCATCATACACATTAAACAAAATAGCAGTTATCTACGGTCAGAAGTAACCTGTTGACCTATGAAATAAAGGATACTGTGTATGAATGCCAATTTGGACATTAACAATGAGATGCAGACACATGCAGGTGACGAGTCCCAAATATTATAAAATGCGTATCCTAGATTCCACTCCTGGCCATAGTCCATTTACTTTAGGCAAATACTTTAGTTTACAATTTGGAAATAATTAGTTTTGATCGCAGCTTAAGTAAGACGTCTATCTCTCTTACTTTCACCGATAAATATCAACAGTAATAAGTTTTTAATCAATTTCCTCAATGCTTAGTAAGTTTGCCTATGGGTATCCACTATGCATCTTTGGTTCAATTTAGGAAACTTTGGTGAGAATGTCACTGGTATTGTCCATAATGCGGTCACTGACTTCGTTGTTTGACAATATGTCTTGTTCTGATAATCTCAACGTTTATGTGACTATTTTTGCCTGCAATCTGTATCGTATTTCGCAATCGATGTCAGTTAATAATGCACTCCACAAGTCTAAAATACGTCAGTTTGTCTGTTTATGATTGTATTTTTTCTGTTTACCTTGGAATGTATAGACAAAATCAACTTTGAGCATAAACTGGTTTATGCGTTACTAAACGGTTTCAATCAAGAGTAATAAATAGCCGACTTTCCTTCTTTTACATAGTTTTTCTGATTTGATTAGGGTCTGTGAGATATTCATAATTTATCTTCCTTCTACATAGTGAGCATTCATATTATTTTATGTGGTTATATTTCGGTTTTATTCATTCTTTTCGATAATACTAGTATTTCAACTGCATTGATCTGTCTCTTGTAATTTTTTTCCCTCTGTGCTGATGCGAATTGTGGCAAGTTACAACATTTTGGAATTAGTCCAGTTTACTGTTGTTTATAACCAGACAACAGAAACTTTCTTATCTAATTCTCCATTGTGCAGTGGATTTTCATTTTCCTGAGACATTTCCTGGTGGTGAATTCAAACTAATTCGAAATTTATAACCTGAGTTTCACGGACAGTCAGCTCTAAAATATCGGAATTATATGACTCTATCCTCTGCGAAAATGGTATTATTCTGTTTTTAAGCGGAGTTGCACGTTATCATTGTAGTTTATAATCTAGATGTACCTTCGTAGATAACTATTTGTTAGGAACTATATATCATTTGTTGACTATTCGTGTCATGTTTTGTATTAAATTCTATCTTTCTTAATTCCGTTGTTATTAAGCATAATATTACATTACTTTTAGATTGGTCCAGGAGCAGTTAGTGATGCCCCAGATTTGATCCCTATGCATAAAACATCTTCAGCTGATCAGGCTCGTATGACAAGAAATCTTGACCAATTAAAATCTCATTATAAAAAACAACAAACACGTCAACGTTCAACTATTATTGTTCTACCGACAAATATTTTAAAATCAGTCTGTTATCAAACAAATATGATTGCTATACTCCCACAAAGAAAATATACACCAAATGTAAGTTCTATACTAAAACTGTTACAAGTTATCACTTGTAAAATTTGATTTTAGAGTTAGAGAAGGGGTAATTCATTATTTTACTACTAATGTAAAACTAGTATTATTTATGATCGTTTTATGCTTATTAGATATATTTTACTTATGTGTTTGTTGCCTGATAATTTCGGATAGAGAGAGAGATAGAGAAACAAAAATATGCCACTATACTACATTATCTTCGACTGAATGATATAAATGAGTAAATAATTCCATCAGTAGAAATTATCAACTAATTAAGTGTGCCATGTCTTAAGATTGGGTTCGGTACGGGACTATACTAACCAGAAAAACGTGGAAATTCGGGAACTGGAATATTTAAGCAGATAAATTGAAATAGTATACTTCTTAGTACATACTAACAAAAACACTTTTTAAGGACATATCAAAAACTAAAAGTAGTAACGACTGGTCAAAAATGAGCTAAGGTTATGTGAATATTTGAACAAAAATAGTACTTGCAGTTATGTCTACCAGTAAAGTTGTAACATTAACTAAAATTGGATAATTTTTTGATCTCTATAGTATTAAATTAAATCTAAAATGAAAGAAATTGTTACGGTATAAGAACAGTTTAAAAATAGGTAACCTACAATTTTAAACAAGCTTCTTTTCAATTATTGAATTATCTTATTCTAATATTGGTAAGGGGACACAAAACATATACCATTTGCTTTTGTATTACATCTCATGTTGCACAAAATGACATTCTGTAGTCAAAATTAAATGGTAATTAGTTGGAATTTACTATAATATAACTGAACAAATGTATTCCCATGGTTGAGAGCAAAATATAGTGAATTAGAACTATATGAAAACTAACTTAATTTATATTATATGGTTGAAAGCCATAGACCCGTGCTTTATTCTAGTTGGGACTGGTTGGAAAGACATATTTTCATTCTTGTAGAACTGATAATCCCCATAGAATTTGAACCAGATTGACCTAATTTCTTAATTACAGCCATTGTCTCTGAGCTATTTGAGATATCAATTAACCTGTTGTAGAATTAGACAATGTTCACTAACCTGTTTCGGAATAAATATTTACATTTATTTTTTATTTACTAATCGCTACGATCCTAATTCTTGGGACATGAACAAGAATAATTGGATGAGTTTATTTGTTTATTTGTAACTTTATACATGCTTAGTTTATTTGTGAATAAAACACATATAAAGCATAAAATTCATTCATTTTAATAGTTTAGTTTCGTTATAATCTATAAAGCATTTCTTATTTTGTGTGTTTATTTTAACTTTAGAAATCATCGTCATTTAGAATATCGAATACAAATAGTCATTATCCAGTCAAGTCAATAAGTTTTGATTCTTATGATACATTAGGAAATTGCTCTGATAATAATCTCAGTGAAATTGATGACAAAAATGATTGCAATACTTCTTCTCTAGATATTCTGGATAAAAAAATTGATGATACGCTAAATGATAGTCCTACAATGGGTATAAATCAGAACTTAATTGGTGCTGTAAAATCTTGGCAAGAAAACGCTGATTGGTCTGTTACTGTTGATGAAAATGATGATCCTAATAAAAAATTCTTTCTTGATGAATTGAGTGGTAAAGAATTATCAATTAAACATTCTAACAATGCAAAACTTAAATTATGTGAATTAGCAAGGTTTAATAGTTTAGAAATCTGTTTACCAATGAAAGTAAGTATATGAATTGAACCAATAAAAGTCCCGCTTTCATAAATGATACTGAATGGTTATTGTTTATTTAAAAATACAGTCAAATTAATACAAATTCTTGAATTGAGATAGGTCATCTCACAGTAAACAGAACACAGGTGGAGACAATCGAATGTATTTGACGCAAAATTACAGGACTTGTTAATAGAATCTAACTATCATAAAGTAAATGCTTAATTTGCAAAATGTCCACCAATTGTCTCAAAATAACTCAGACTTTTTTGTTCTTGCATTTTCATAAAAATACCATTCTGTTATCATTCTTAACTGTTCGATCCTCTTGTCTCTGCTGCCATACCTTCTGTTCACGACTAACATCATATACTACTTATGTCAATATAAGTAGCACACATCACAATCTTAGTTACAAAATGAAATTTTTATTTTGATCCTTTTTAAGTGGACCGTATATTGAACTCAAGTGGTAAAGTTACGTCCAGTTTATGCTACTTTTACAGTATTTATTTCAAGTCCGATTTTCTCCACGCAAAACTCATGGATTCGCATATACTCATTTTAGTCAAAAACGTTTGTTTCTGGTATATATATACAGTATGCGGCTAAAATTATCAGAACATAAGCTAACTGATATGAAACAGTTATACTGTGATATCGCTTTTGTTCATTCGAATAACTGTCATGTATGGTATAACTGTTGTTTGATTTGGCCCTAACTTTTAATGAATGGTTTATGTGGTTATAATTTACAAGGTGTAATTTATAGAATATACGTTATTAATAGTCTCTAGCTTAATTGATTATTAGTATTTTGCAGTTAGAACACCTTACTTACTTTATCATCAGAAGCTATTCCATAAAGAAATTATTTTTGAGATATATTTTGATCTTAAGTTCATAAAAGTAACAAAAAAGAACTATGTTTACTTGCTGTGAAGAATATTCTGTGGTAGTTGTCACTTTTCTGCTAAGGTTCGTCAGTCAGCCATTCCTACACAACGATGGACTTGACAAATATGTGCGTCGGCTCAAGTTACCTTACTACTTTGGCACAGAGATAAAATTATTTTTTTAAAAATTCCAGGGTATATATTGCAGAAGAAATCAGCTCAGAAAAAGAAAAATCAGGGTATAAAATGATTTCGGACTCAGGTTCTAGAGGAAGACGAAGAGCAAATAGTATATATTCGAGATGAAGGTTTCATTGGATTTTTGTGACAATAAAGTCTTTCTATTTTTAATTGGTCAAGGATTTTATTTAACACGCATCAAATTTTACTGGGACTCCATGATATTCCAGAATACTAGATGAATCATGGAATAAATGTTATCATTCTTTCGGTAAACAAGCTTATATTTATTCAGATGATTAGCTTTCCATAAATGCTAACCACGGTGGTGATGATTATGACGTTATCTAATATTTGATGTGAGCCAAAGTCGAAATAAAAGACCTACGCTGCATTCGTTATTATAATAAACTGTGATCTATATTGTAGGTTCTCTAAGTGAACACCTAACTCGTCAAAATTTTAATCTTGTATCGTTATTTTTATAGTAGGTTCATTGTACTATGAATGTGTTATGATTTAATCACACCCGGTTTAATCATAATGTTATTTACTGGAACATACGAAGTTAGGAAGTATACCATATCTGATGTAATTATTATCCATTATTTTTGTAATTTTATGTACTGATAGTATTATTTCACTGAGAAAGATTGATTGAAATACTTTTATATTGTTATTCGACTAAGGCTTTGATGTTTCATATTGGTAACTGGTAGTGATTTTCAATTAAGTGATATTAATCATGAATAATTATCCTTATATAGTTTAGTTGGAAACAGAACAAGTTAAATCTTCTGTTTTTACTTTATTTTTATCATACTTTTTAAGTATTCGTACTCAGATGGAACATTGAATGGTCATACTACATCGAACAATCATACTGATCATATCGATTATGATGTAAACTCTACAAATTCTTTAATATATAATAAAAATATTTATGATACCAATATAATTTATTCGAAAAAAACTATTAATGAATTAATTTTAATGAATATGATTAAAGAATATAATCGATTAAAGGAGGCCAACAATATGAATAATTTAAAAGAGTCAAAAATTACACCTACACAATCATCAGTTGTAGTGTCTCATGAAGCGATTTCTCTGAATGACACAGATACTTCATCTTGTTATACGTCAGTTTCAAGAAATATACCGAAAAAGTTACCTTGGCAAGAAGCAGCATATTCCTTTGCTCTTAATTGTCGTTTAAACAAATTAATCACTTCAAAACAGACATGTGAATTATTTCCTGTAAAAACATCGCTTACTCAATCTCGAAGAGAGTTTGGAGCTAAATTTGGTATTTATTAGGATACAAATTTCAAGAACTGATCGAATTTCTCAGGTTTCCATTATTATTGCTAAAACTTTAGTGCTTATTTCTGGTAACTCGGTGATTATAAATTCATAACATTCGTTATATAGCATAACTGTGTTTTGTAATTACCTCTTCATGATTTTCAGAAGTTATTCATATTCATTCATTTTTGGAGGATTGGTGATAAATATTTTAGAACAACATATATAATATGGAAAGTTTTCAGATAAATATATTATTTTCTTAATATTATGCTTCCGTTATCGGTAATAACATTTGTGTATTATAATGATGTCTACAGAAAATAATCTAGTCTATCATTATTTTTATTCGTTTTGTTTTCAATAGCTTATTTTGTGATTGTTAAACTTATTATATATCACTGATCAGAACAATAAAATTTCATGATTTGTTCCCATGTTCAATATTGTTTACTTTATACTATCATTGATTAATACAGAAAAGATATTTTGACAAAAATTGCCTTATATAGTGCTTTTCCGTTTGTTATTTTTATGTAATTGAACTTAATTTCGGTTGAAATCGAGATTTTTGATAGAGAGGATAACATCATAAATTTTGATGAGCTGCCTACTTGTATTTAGACAAAACTTTTGTCAAATGAAATTAAGTCTAAGACAGAGCTTTTTTTGTCAATATACACCTTTTTTCTTTCTATGCTCGATTTGTCAGGAAAACGTAGGCTCGTTCTAAATTTCTAACATCGGTTATTTTGAGCTGTATGCAGTGAGAATATCGCTAAGATTTTATTGTGATCTTCAGGTTTCTGTGTCACTAAAATAATCTTGTTCTCATAAATAAAACTGTGAATTGATTATGGTGTATGGTCATTCATAGAATATATTTATAGTCGGTTCCATGAACATTATTGTATAAAAGGGCAAGATTACCTCAAGTTTCTGATTTGCTTGGTAATTGATGTAAAATTTGTCGGGATGCCGTTGTCCTGTAAATGTAATATTCAGACAATAATGGGAATGTTTTTCTTAGGATGGAGCCAAGGTTATTTCACATGTGAGAATTGAGACAAGTATGTCAAATAATTTAAATTCTTGCGAATTCAGTTTATTCATATTGTCTAACACAATATTTGTAACTGAAAGTTTTCATAATTAAAAAATGTGTGAATGAAGAATAGTTTTTCACGTATTATTATTAGGCTTTAAAGTTGTTCATCCCAATTAATGACTCGAAAAAATGAACACGTTTTTTATCTAGTCAGATTTTATTATTATCAATATCAACTAAGTTCATCAGTTAACATAAGGATACATTAAATTTGTGTTTAAAGCAATTCGATCTTGTCTTCAAACTGTGGTTTATCAACTACCTATTCACGAGCATCAACTACGTAATATCTCATTAAAGTAACATTTGAAGTAGTATAAATCTGTTGTTTAATAACATTTACCGTATAAATGGTTCAGATTGGACTCAAAGGAATAACTATTTGTTGTAATGACCTTTTTATAAGCTCAGACAATACAATATTTAGTTTTGTAAGAATAAGTCTATGCACGTTTCTGTTACATAGTTTAAATGTATATTTTATTCAGAATAGTTCACAAGATGACATTTTCTCAACCCAGTTTTAAAATTCCTTAGTTGCTTATTCATAAGCATTATCATGTGGTATAGCCTAAGATTTTGTTTGTTATTTGGCAGAAATCAAAAATGGTTTACACAAAAGTTAATATGGTCGTACAGTATTTATTCAAGTTATTGCATAATCTTATAAATCACTGTTGAGTATTTCTGTCATGCTGTCACTTTTGCTGGAAGTATATCTAATTGTATCCAGCTATTTCCTGTTTGTTTGTTACGTAACACATCAAACTAGAATCAATCAAAGGTCAGTTTTTATTTATGATAGTCTCACTACCTTTCAGTTGTTAATAGTTGAATGGATTAAGTTAGTCTTCACAATTCATTTTATTCGACTTGATTCAATACAAGAAGAGGGAATGTATTCATCGCTTTTATTCCAGTGTGAATGTGAATTTAAAACCAGATTTTATAATTGAAGAAAGTATTTATGCTTGGATCGACAGGTTTATGATTAACCCATACGGATAAAAAGAAATGCATATATAGGTAAAACGTTCTAACTTTATATCGAATGAAAAACTTATTGCTTCTACTAGTACCGTACAAAATTAAGAGATAGTTTACCCTTTTAAAGTTACTGAACGGCATATGGCAAAATTCTGACATTTGGGATTGAAAGTATTGCGATATATAAATAAAGCTATAGAGAAGTGGTGTAAAATTCTGTTATTGTAAGGAAAGAGATATGAAAATAAAAAGGCAATGTGCCAAAATGAGACCAAAATGGTACCAAACGCTGGCGAAATCAGCTAGATTTAACGTCAAACTGTTCGGGCTATGTTGTCAGCCAAAATTGTGATTATTATATGACTAGCTTGTCAGACATCCCCTGATGTCTTCCCGTTAAAGACAACATATTAGTGTTAGCTAGATCAACTGAAATCACGGGTTTGGAGACCGCTTCTCATGCATAACCATTAACGTTGAAATGTCTGTGGTAAACTTGACGTTTGTTCCCTTTACAAACTTAGGTCTCTTTTTTATTTATTTAATATTTATTCCTACATATAAATTCAAAAGCATTTTCTCCCTCAGCTATCTTACTTCTAATTGACTGCAGTTGACGGATAGAGTTGATTTTAAAATTGTATTATTATTTAACAGAATAGAAATATACTTTGCGTTAATTTGGTATTATACTGATAATAAATGTTATGAAAGCGCTTTCATAGATAATAAATTTTTAAAAAATCCATATTACAACAGATAAACTTTTTGTGTATCAGTAACCTCAAGTGTCCAATTATTATCCAAGATTTACAAATGTATCGTACAAAAATAAAATGTGATATTCTCATATTATCGATTTAGGTACGTTCCACTACTAATTAGTAAAATGAAATCACATTCTGTAAGTTTCGTTTCGAATTTAAACTTTAGTTCCTATTCACTTGATGTTGTTTTACTTGTATATTCCCATTGTTATTTAAGACTGCACTTGATCAGTCTCATGTTGGCACATGTGCATCCTGTGCGGATTACATCGATATAGCCTCAGGTCACAAGCTTTTTAAGTAAAGATGGATAGTGGTTAGCAGTGGAATCCAGTTTGACACGCATTTCATCCTATTTGTGACTCGTCGGCTGGATATACCTGCATCTCAGATTTGATGTTCACTCTGGTACTCGAACTCAGAACGGTTCGCTTCAAATGCCATACCAAGTGAGTTTAAATTCACCCCATTGCACAAGCAAGTGGTTGTCAAGACTCAGTACCTAAATGGATAACGCGATGGCTTTTCGAGAGAATGGTACTGGTTTCGAGTCGCAAAGTGAACATCAGCCCTGAGATACAGGGCTGACGAGTCCCAAATATGACAAGACGCGTGTCCTGGTTCCAATGCTAACCACTATCCATCTTTGTTCCAATTTCTATCCGTCTGCATTGAAATGTTTTTCTGTTTTTTTTTCTTGTTGTAATTTAGTTTAGATTGTAAAATAAAAATAAAAAAATATTTCATTACATAAATAAATGTAACTTGATCATTGCAAATTATTTTTTTTATGCACAAAATATAATTATATTTAATTAAAAAAATAGATTAATTAATAATTAAGAAATTTGTTTTGTCAATAAATATGATAGCAGTTTATTATTGTTGTTTTTTTCTTTCAATAAAATGTTTGATAAATTAATTAGAAATTGATTGGTCTCTTTTATTTATTTCTGTTGAAATGTGGTTAACAGTTGCTAAGTCGATATGGTTGTTGAAAAATCTTCTTTTTTGTTTATGATGTTAAAGTTTCTTCGTTCAGTTGAAGAAAATTTCTTTCTTTAACTTTCATTGTATTCAATTGAATAATTGCATCATTCACTGCATCATGAACTGTTGGGTAAATTTTAGTTAAATCTCCTATTTTATTATTATTTTGTAAAGTATGAATAAGGTAATCTTAAATAAGAAAAAAAATATAAGAATAGATAATTTATGCACTCTCTAAGGAATATTCATATGAAATAATATGAAAGTAAAAGAAATCTTATAACGTTGTAAATATTTAAACAAAATATAACATGAATTGTCTGTTTGAATATTCGTCGATATCTGAGAGAATGATTGGGTAGAAATCGTTAGCCGAGTATGTAGATGATATTATTTGTAAATATTATATTTGTAGTAATCTTAACGATTGAAATTTAAATAGTCCAGTCGTTTCGTCCAGCAATCTAGTCTAGACCACTTCAGGGTAACGAAAAATCAGTCAGTCAGTCAGTAACAACGTGGAACTTCGTACGTACGTACATCAGTTCGAATTTAATGTGATTGTATAATCTTTTAGTTCAGATTACTGTAAATATATTCTCATCATAATAGGAGTTTGTGGAGATGGTAATAATTCAATAGTTCAATTCACGAGTCGATTTAAGCTAGACTAATGTAGAAAACACGGAAGCACCGGACAGCTGTTTCATCCTAGTATCCGACTCCTCAGTAGTGCGCAAACTCGGTCTTTCTAGCGGGACTCGAACTCAGAACATTCGGTCTCGCGCGTAAACGCTTAACCTGTAGACCACTGAGCTGACATCCAACGGTGTTAATGTTTAACTTCAACCAGTTCATGGTACTGCATAACCGTCCATCATTGTCTTCAATGGGTAACTGCCTCATGACAGACACAGTTGACCAGAGGATTTAATTTACTTAAATAGGTTCACTGGTAAACATGAATGATTGCGTAGCACATTTAATGGTAGTGTTTAATACTATCAGAATTAGTAATCTTAGTTCAGTTAAAATTACGTAAAAATAATTTACCATAAATTCTTAAAAGAAATTATTTTTTTCTTTTGAGTGGAAATGACAGGTTAAAAGAGGTATTTAAATCATCACTAACAGACTCAATGACCATTATTTGTTTAATTGTAAGATGAACACAGTTTATTTTGGAAATTAAAATATGGTTACGTAGGCAAAGATTCGGAGAACGTAAGTACCTTTTACTCATAAATCCCAAAGAGCGAATATTAGTAACGACTTATAAAATGATCCTTGAGGCTTCCATTTTTTGAACGAAATATGATTTAGCATTAAGATTAATTGGTCTATATTTCAAAATATTCATCAGTTTGCAACTTCCTGCAATTTTCATTTAACATCTTTACGTCAGTAAATAGTTGCTAACATATAATTCAGTCTTTCGAATACAGAAATTGCCGCAATCGACCTCATTCGATGAAAAAGCAATGATGGTTAAATACTTAATTCTAAACGAATAGATGTAAGTTTTGGAGGACAATCAACCCCTCAGCATAGATGTAGGTATGAAATAAGTATAAGAGAGTATCTATTGTCCCTATCGACTGCCCCTTCAGGATTGGACTGAGGTTGAAGAAAGCAAAACTCTGTTGGTCAACTTAATTAATTAATAGTGAACTCTCAATAAAGTCATTGTTTAAAATGTATCTTAGCAGAGATGCTAAACGTTTTATAACTTGCTTAAGTTAGGGTACTGTATGATGTATACACGAAAACTATGTTCGAAATGAACTAATTCGTAAAAAAATTAGTGTATTCTTTAAATTCACTCAGTTCTTTGAATTTAAATTTACATAAGGGAAGATAACATTTCCTGTTTATTTTAATTAAATTTGTTTATTATATACTGTTAATGTCATGATTCAATGTTAAATATTTCAAAAGATTTTTTCTTCATTTAAGTGAAATATTAGATAGGTGACCGATTCAAACATGTGGTTAATGGTCGGTAATTTGAAAAAAACATCAATAAACTAAACAATGAACGAAACCTTAGTTAACTGACTGAATATTTAGAATGTTTTTCAATAAAATGTAAAAAAAATAAGTTTTTGTTAGTCAACCATTTTTCTCTCTTAAATTACAACTGATATATACATAATAATCCAAACAATGAAACAAAATGTTTATAAGTTTACGACCAACTTGTATATATATATTGATATCAGTAACATACCTTTCATCTCAGCGAGCAGAACGATGATGCCCAGTTTTTCATAGCTATCTATCACCTAAATATACAGTAAATATAAACAGTTGACGTTTTTATAGTACTGTTATGTGTATGTATTCATTTTGATGAATAAGATCCTAGTCTTCTCGAGTCATACCAAAGAGGTCAGTAATACTATTAAACAATGAGTACTACTGAACACCAAATTACATAGTAAACATTTTTTCCTGATAATGGTTTATAAATCTATTTGTTCTTATGTGAATGATCTCTCAGATTTGCACCATTACTATAACGATTTCGTTGTAGGTATGAACGAATATAACGTTAAGTCATAAATAGATCTTTAAAAATTTACAGTATGACATTGAATAATACAGTTAAAAACATGGGTGATGAAATTAACTTGACCATTTTTATGACAGAATGTTTATTACATTATTCGAATTGATGCACTAAAGCTTGGGTAATGTTAAAATTTGTTCACTCATACCATAATTATTTTATTTAAAAACATAAACATTGGTAAAAGGAAGAACCGAATAAATATGCGCCACATAAATCATTCGATTTATATGAGGTCTGGAATAATACCCGGTTGCCCAAACCAAAACAGGTAGTTTTCTTAGTGGTCCATACCCGGAGTCTATGACGTGAACGTCTAATCCACAAGGCAGTGGAGCAACCTAGGAAATGCAATCCCATGGTAGCCGGCGACCAATTACTGGTTCATACGCTATTTGTTTCCTTAGGATCCTGGATTTCATGTAAATCATTGGTTTGAAATCAGGGTTTTCCAACTCCTCTAGATAACCATCAACCGGGTAAAGCACCGAACATTCGCTTTTCGTCCTCTCGGTTCCGTAAACAACACCTCCACCACGAGAAGGCAGTGAGTTGGACTTCCCTGATAGTGGTTATATGCACGTGGCTATGTGAGAGCATTTCGAGAGAAAGAGGGCTGGTACTATCCACTCTCACTCGTACCAGAGCATTTGGGGGCTGGCGTCAGGAGCATAGTTATTTATAATAGCTCATATCATTAATAATCACAAACTGAAATATATGTCTATACATATATGGCTAATGAAGTTTCACAATCTTTATAAGAAATTTATTAAAAAATCTCCAATAATTTTATATTTTAAACATGCATTATTTTCATTCAGTATCAGTATAATAATAAAATATCTTGTTTCAGATTCTGTTGTAATTTAAAAATTTAATAATATATTGTTGGGATATTCAGAAAAATATCCCAAAAATTATCCTGTTAAGTCTAATGCTACCCGTGAACGCGAAATAGTGTCATTTTCCTATCGGTCAATATTCACAGTAGTCCTAACTGTATAAATATGCATTTGTCTGTAAAGTATCATTCCTATTCTTATTCTTCTCCTGACCTCATAAACAATTTTCTGCTAATGGTTCGTGTTCTGATTTATTGGAGATTGGGAACAGTATTGAGGTCGTACTGGGATATTTGAAGTCGGTAGAAATTAGAATAGCCACCATGCAGTTCATAATAATATAATATTTATTATTAGAATTCAATTTATTAATAAATAATTTTAAAATTTACCTGTTTTAATTCATCTGCTCCAACTATATCAATAAATGTCCAACATGAACAATCTAATATTAAATAATTAAATGTTAATAAATGATTAATAATTTCTAATTTTTTAATTTGTTTTATTTTTTCCATTTCTAATTTAGATTTTTCATTGATTGTTAATAATTTTCTTTTTTTTATAAAATAATAAAATATTTTTCTTTTAAATGATTTTTTCTTTAAATTTGATTTTTGTTGATTTTCATTAGCTTTTGAATAATAAAAAAAATAAAAAAATAAAAAAAACTTAATTACTATGCATGAAATATTGCAACAAAAAAACTTAGGAAAATACAAACAATTAAGTTTGAAATATTCTCATATTGTTAATTTAGAACAATATAGATATAAGCGAATAATATCGTTTTTGGATTAGATCTTCATCAGGCTTTACTCTAATATACATGAATATTTGCGTGTATATACGAAATTATTAAACCAATCGAGGTAGTTTATGAGTTAATGATAACAATGAAAATGATTACATAAGTAAAGAGTGAAAAGTACAAATTGGTAGTGTGATAACAGGTAACTGAACCAAAGAATTAGTCAACACCTTTCTTCGTAGTTAGGAAAAAGTAAAGTCAAGACAATTTATAGCTCGGTTATATCACACTTGATCGATAGCGGTCATGTAGTGGACAGAAACAAGTCATTTAAAGTTATTTATCGTATTCCCACTAGTTTTCTTTATGGTGTTTGATCTCGTCTCTTACACATAGCAGAAGCTATAAAAATTCGAGCCAACAAGCCAAGTCTTTATGTTCAGAAGAAATTTGTAACACCCTTATCTCTCCCTTGGTCTTTATAAATGAATTTATTTATTCTTTTTCCAACTTTCTCTTCGTTTATTATTTTTCTTCATCCCCTGTTACCATTTTATTTTCTCTCAAACATACGTTTCGCGGTTTAATTATCTGAACACTTCTTATCACATCATCTTATAATTTTATAAATGTTATCTCACCGTCTATATTTTTCTAATCATTGACCTATTTCCGATTATGTAACATTGATTTGAGCCTTTATTATTCTTATCAAAAACTAATGCACCTGTTATCACACTACCAATTTGTACTTTTCACTTATTATGTAATCTTTTTCACGGTTATCATTAACTCATAAACTACCTTGATTGGTTTAATAATTTCGTATATGCACATAAATATTACTGTATATTAGAGTAAAGCTTGATGAGGATCTAATCGAAAACAATATTGTTCGATTATATATGTTGTTCTAAAACAATTAAATACTTAGATTCACTTGGTATTGTTTGTTTGAAACTTTCCATTAGTGTTTAGGACTGAAATTGATTAGTCTCTTTTTGGAATATGTGCATACCATACGTATTGCCTCGAGTTTCGGAGTGAACATCAAATCTGAGATGCCGGTACATCAAGATGACGAGTCGCAAATAGGATGAAGCATGCGTCCTGAATTCCACTGCCAGACACTATCCATCTTTGCATATATAATCCTCGTGAATTAAGGCTATGTCGAGGCAGTATACACATATGCAAATAAGAGACTGATTAATTACAGTCCTAAACATCAAAGGGCAGATTCAAACAAACAATACCAAGTGAATTTAAGCTTCACTTCATTGTACAAGCAAGTGGCTATCAGAATACAGTAGCTAAGTGGATAACGCGATAGCGTTCGAGGCAAACGGTACTACGTTTGAGTCTTAGAATGAACATCAACACTGAGATGCAGGTACATCCAGCTGACGAGTTTCAAACACGACGAAACGCGTGTCATACTTGATTCCACTGCTAAACGCTATCCATCTTTGCATATAATTAAATACATATTTATCAAGGAGTAGATAGAAGTTTCAATAGACAAATAATCCTATCGGCTTAGGCGTTAGTATGAAATAAGTATAAGCAAGTGTCTGTTGACTCTATCGGCTGTTCCTTCTAGATTGATTGGAGTTAAACATTAATTCCATTGGATGTCAACTCAGTGGTCTAAAGCTTAAGCGTTCGCGCACGAGACCGAATGTCTTGGGTTCGAATCTTGCGAGGCAGCATCGTGACTGCACACTGCTAAGTAGTCCCATGCTAGGAAGAAACAGCCGTTCAATGCTTCCGTGGTCTAGCTTAAATCGACTCACGAATCCATTGATTAAATTAATACAATATTCAGAAACCCCCTTCTGATAAAAAAATAAATCTAGTAAACTATTTCCTACAATCCAATCGTTCTTTTTATGATGACAATCAATGGTTTATACACATGAATTAGTATGAAGTTATTATATTTCATAAATTATCATTGTCAACTGCTTACAGGCTTCATCAGAATAACCAAAAACATTGATTGAATAAAAAGGTAACATTCAGTGAAATAATTGTAATTGTTAAAATCACTAATAAAGTTGTTTGCTTAAAACGTTTCTTGAACATTAAAGTATGAATGTGAACCGAGAAAATTGTCAAGGTTGATTAAATAATTTTAAAACGTATATACACTTCAATAATTAGTGGAAATTCATTAATAAGCGTTAAGTTATTTCTGATGTGGACAAATATCCAACTTTAAATTAAAGAAGGATCAATCAGATAGGGGGTTAATAATGATTGAAATGATACTGACATTGATGAAGTTCTAAATGTTACATTTTGAATCCATAGTTCTTTTGTTGTTTTTTTATAGTTCAGTAGCAACGGCTTCAGTAGAAACATGATTAGATGGAGTTTCTCTCATTTGCTTATTAGTATTTTAAACAGACAATACTCCTTAGGTAATGTTTAATCATACATTGCTTTAAAACGATGTAAACCATTTCGATTTTTTAACATAATAAGTATTATACAATTCATTTCGTCATTTCACGTTTCGAAATCAGTTCTATGATGCGATTCTTTATGTATTCCGAAAAAAAGCATAATAATCTGATATAAAGATTCCCATGTTAATGTCTATTATACTTTCAGTGATTCAGTCATTCCTTTTTAATTTAATTGATACTATTTTTAGAACATTAAATAAGGTGTAAATCAAGTAAAAGAAACAAAAAACTGAGTAATATATAAATTCATTTTTCCGATTCTATGGTGTTTATATTCACTTGGTGTTGTTTTACTTGTATCTACCTATTGTTATTTAAGACTGCGAATGATCAGTCTCTTGTTGATATATGTGCATCCTGTGCGGATCGCATCGATATAGCCTTAAGTCACAAGTATTATAAGCAGAGATGGATAGTGTTTAGCAGTGGAATCGAGTTTGACGCGTGTTTCATCCTATTTGTGACTCGTCGGCTGGATATACTTAATCTCAGATTTGATGTTCACTCTGGTACTCGAAATCAGTACCGTTCGCTTCAAACGCCATCGCATTATCTACTTAGCTACTGAGTCTTGATAACCAGGTGCATTCAGCTGACAAGTCCCGAATAGAACGTAGCGCGCATCTTCGTTATAATGTTTATGTCTGAAATCCGGTTATGAAATATCCATATGACATGTTTTACTATCTGTAAAAATGTTCTTAGAATAAATTGTTTCCTAACTGATGAGAATGAGCTTCAAATATTGCGCTTAAAATCAAACTCTTGGATTAGATATATATTCACTTAAAAAGGTGAAAAATAGCATGCAATTAAGTAAATATGCATTACGATTGCTATTTTATGTGTCGGATTATCGTATTCATAATGATGGTAGAGTATTTATTGAACTACATATAATTTCATCCAATTGTTGAGTAAAATATTATTAATAATGATTTATTGAACGAAACTTTAAGAAATCGTTTCAAGAAAAGTAAAACCGATGTTCAGTGTTTACGATGCTTTTGTAGGTAAGTTGAAACAGATAAAATCGATAGTTTCTTTTTTTAAACAATACGCTCAATCAATCTTGTGAAATTTACCTGCAGGTTATTGGCATCACTGTGATTAAATAACCATTAGAATCTATTAAAATAGTTCTACGATTGATATATTGATTGACATTTTTTAAGAAACACATGAAAAGTATTCTCAAAAACTCAGCTAAACAGAAATGAAATAAGTCGTACCGACAAGTGAACAAACTCAAGCTAGAAGACGTCCGGTATTACATATTAAAATCTGAATGATTTTAATATGAGATAAATTACTTGTGATTAAATAATCTGCTTATGACTTATTGATCGACTTCAGCTACTTCATTATAGAATAATTGATAGACACTTAGTTAAATAATGACTCTGATATAAAAATGGATCATCTCATTATATTTGCAAAAATTACATTTCAGAAGGGTTTTTGTGCATATTATAGTAATTTCAGTGCTGTAAATCATGAGCCAATTGAAGCTAGACCACCCTGGAAAACCTGGAAGCACCCGATGACCGTTTCGTTCTATTGTGGGACTACTCAACAGTGCACATCCACAATCCCGCCTCGTCAGATGCGAACTCAGGACCTTTCAGTCTCTCACGCGAACGCTTAACCATTAAACCACTGAGCAGGCATCCAATAGTGTTAATGTCTAACTTCAACTAATTCATGAAATTGAGCGACACACCCACTGTTGTCTTCAGTGAGTAACTATCTCGCAACTGACCTGGTTGAACTCCACTGGTCACTGCTTCTCACTAGAACTTCAGGAAATACCTCTTGAAGCCAGTCACTAATGAGCATGTGTTGGCTATTATCAGAAGTGGTTTTGTGGATATTATAATAATTTCAATAGTTCAGTGCTTACAGGTTTTTCATGGTGGTCTAGCTTCAATTGACTCATGATCTCAACTATTAAAATTACATTTCAGTTCATAATTTAAAAAAAAACTTTTATGATCTTAACTCTGAAGATACTTTATTAAAATTTCGAACTGATCATGATTTCTTTTTCCTAAATGTGCATTATAATTTATTTCCTCATGAAGAAACTGTTTAATAAACATTTATATAACAGCATTTAAATTATAAAATCATAGTCAGGAAACTATAATTTATGGACGAACAAATCAGGTATAAGATAACAGGTCTTGGAATTCGGCACGAAATCCACTCATTCATTTGGTTAAATAGAATTTTGGCATTATAGCTGATGTTAGTTCGTTATGAAAACTTTAAATGTAATTCCTTACCTTAACCATCAACTGTGAATCATAATTCTGATTCTTAATACTAATTTATAAACCTCATTTGGTCTTAGTTATTAGTTGATCACTCTCAAGGTCACTTTAGCATCGCTCAAATTTCGTCTATGAATTATAGTTTCATCAGGAAATCATCTAATCAATAACTAGTTGAAGCTTTTTATAATTTACATATACAATATCTGAAAGAATTAAATGAAATATTTTAGAAATTCAATAGTGTACACAATTTTTTTCTCAAATACAGGAGTCATTCTGTTAAATATCAATGCTAATTAAGACATTTTTTTGTTTGCTTCTCATAAAACTGAATGAACATAGAATACAAAAAAGAGAAAAGTAAACTGAAATTTAGAACCATCAAAGTGTTTTAGTTTACTCAAATTTCACTTTATAAATTTTTTATTTATTTTATGTTTAAACTCTAACTGACCATCCAGCTTATTGATATTCATTATATGATATATACTCTAAAAAATAATTGAAGTCTAGGAATTAACTTAATTCAAAATAAATTGAAGGAACTATGGAAACATAGAAAATTAAACAACTTTGAAAATTTATTAACAATATAGAAATTACTAAAATCTCCACAAAACCCCTTCTGATAATAATCATCTGCTCACTAGCGACTGACTTCATGAGGTATTTCCTGGAGTCCTATTGAGAAGCCGTGACCAGTGAAGTTCAATCAGGTCTTTTGTGAGATAGCAACTCACTGAAGACAACAGTGGGTGTGTCGTTCAATTTCATGGATTAGTTGAAGTTAGACGTTAACACTATTGGATGCCTGCTCAGTGGTTAAATGGTTAAGCATTCGTGCGCGAGACTAAAAGGTCCTGAGTTCGCATCTGACGAGGCGGGATTGTGGATGTGCAATGTTGATGAGTCCCAAAATAGAACGAAACGCTCATTGAGTGCATCCAGATTTTCCATAGTGATCTAGCTTCAACTGACTCATGGTTTCAACTATTGAAATAGCTAAATTCACCACAAAACCCGTTTTGATAATATATAAATGCATCAAATTCACTTAGAACAAACACATAATGTGTTGATCTAATGTTAATGTTTGTCATAAAATCTGAAAATTTTAAAATGACTGATTTGTTTTTAAAAATTCAGGACACATGTTTTATTACGCGTCAAATTGTAGATGCTTACAGTATGACTTGAAAGCAATATCGTTCAGCATGTTGTAGTATTACACACTGGACAACTGAACCGCCGACTTAATCAATCAATATGATATTCATTATTCATAACGTTTTGCTCCCACATTAATGTGAAATAATTTATCACTTATACTGGAGTAAATAAAAACTAATTTCATTGAGCAATTAAATACTTGTTGATTCTGTCTATCGAAAACAAATTAGTAAAACTACAAAAAAAAGAGTTTAATATTCATATATATATTGAGTACAGAAAAAAAACGATACACTACAAAATGTCTTTGCACTGGATGTAATACTGTGTTCATTTTAGAAAAATCCCTCAAGCTGAATTGCTTGTAATATTTTTTACAAAGACTATTTTAATTTTGAAAAAAAACACCATTTAACCGTTGAAGTTTGTTGACATAACAATTTCAAGGTGAATCATTTGAGGTGAATGTTTTTTTTCTTACCTTAGTTACTAATTCATTTTATGATGCATAGAAAACAAACATAATTTTTAAGAGATTGAGATGATCATATATAAAGTTTTATTATTAGACTACTCATCATAGAATAAACGTAATATCAAATTTGTTAAATAACATTAGTTATCCGTTTTAATGGATGAGTTCAAAGGGAATTCTTACAATAAGGATTAATATCTATTAAATAAAATAAATCAGTAAAGAACTAATTTAACTTAAAAGGAATAAAAATCAATAATTTCAAAGAAAAATAAAGATCATATTTACCTACATGCTTCTAATTGATCAAATGTTTCTTCTATAGTTTTTATTTCATTTGAATGATCATCTGATTTATCTATTTCAATATCCATAGACTTTGATGTTGAACGTAAAGTATTTTCAATTTGTTTTATTCTATTTAAACAATGATTCACTTTTAAATTTATATCAAATGGATTTAATCCTGTTTGTAAATAAACACTTTCACGAAAATGTTCAGCACAAAAATAGAATAAATTTCCTTCATAACGAATAATTTTAATTTTATCATGTTTTATATACTGAAATGTAGGGAATAGAAATAATCTAGATGAATCATATAAGAAAATTATTTGAATGACGTGAAAAATTTAAAAAAAAAGAGAAAGAAAACAATAAATATTTCAGGTTTTCATGTTCACTTCAAACTGCTAGTAAAATTGTGGTGCGTGCCACTTATATTGATATAAGTAGTATATGACACGAGTCAGGAATATAATATCTGGTGGCAGAAGATGGGGAAGATCAAGAAAGGAAGAGCGGCAATAAAAAGCAATTAGTATGGAAATGCAAGAACAATGAAGTTCAAGACAATTATTGAATATTTTGCAAATTAAGTATTATAGTATGGTTTTTCTATTTTATCAGTTAACTCTGTAATTTTGTGCTTTAGTATAGTTCCGTTCTCCTCACATGTGTTCTCCTTCACTACAAAATCATTGATAAGCAACTAAGGTTTAAAAAAATACTGTTTCGGTTTACTTTGATATGACTCAGGAGCGTTCACCCTATTGGTGGAAAAGTAAAATTCAACTCAAAGTAAGCATGAATATATTCAATAATATTGCAGAAGAGAAATGTGATTAATATTAATATAATTTATCAATTGAGTCTTAATACACTGATCTAACATTTTATTTCTCATTCCACGAGCTATGTGTTGTAATATTAATAAATGATGTTTAAATGTAGACATGGAAAAAACTTTACAATAAGGCAATAAATTCGATTAGTTAATCATATTATTACGGTCTATCAAAACAAAAAATCTTCGTTTAGTGTTTTATGTTCGGTATAGCTGTTAATGGTTTTATTCCGAGATTTTGACTGATTGTACATGATTCAGACTTGCTAAAAATTCATAGTATTGGTTGTTTTAAAAAACTATCCATCATTACAGAAAATAAAGAAAAAGGTGATTCGATTATATGTACTTCTCAATGTGATATACGAAAATATAATTTGGAGTTTAGATTGCATTAATCAGATCTTCTATTCCCTTTGATAATAATATAAATATTGTACAAATTACTATACAATCTTAATATTCGCCTTTAACTTTGAATTTCAGGATCAATGATAAGATCCTGAATAATGACTTGTAATACGCTGAAATCAGCAACAAAACAAGGGATGACAACTTCGATTAGTCTAAGACTCCTCAGCGTTGCTTCCACACGTGGGATTAAATCATTTAGCTTTAGATCACGAAGTGAATATGATACCACTAGATTAAGGACTTATAGAGTTTGCTATCATTGAACTCTGTTAAGCTCTTTTGTTAACTTATTTACCGGAAAAAGTCATTCGTACTATAAGAACTTATTGTATCTTTATTATTGTTGTGCTTGTATGAAGTATGTATGCTTGAACATTGCTTACCGCCTACGTATATATTCATTTTGCTAGCTTTATTATTAACTGCTTAATTGATTCGATGATCCATTCATTTCCCTATATATATACATGTACATTTAACACTATACACTGTCGGTTCGTCAACTCATTCATTTGCCTCTCGGCTTTGTGATCTGAGTTATCTGCTAATAAAACTGCAGTCGCTACTTCTCTTTGCCTTCTGATTTCAAACATTGTTCAGGATTATATAGTAACGGTTAAGAGGGTGATTGGTCAACGAAGCACAGGCACTACATATTACTTTACGATACATTTTCTGAAGTTTTTTCCTCTTTAAACTGTTTTCATCACAATGTAAGAATATCACCATAGGTTCATGGTTTTCCAATTATATATTTTTAATTTAAATGAATTTCGGCGCTTATTCATCACATAATTATCGAATATCTGACCTAATAGTGACAATTATTACTGAAATTCAAATGAAATAATAAAACAATATGTAATATAATCTGATTATGTACGTAACACTTACATTTGTATAATCTCTACTGTTTCGATAGATTTCTGTATTTTGAATTTGTTCAAAACTGTGAATTTTAGGCCATTGTATTCGTAATATAACAACTCCAACAGAGATTATGATACCTAATAGAAGACCATAATTTACACTAAGCAATACTGTGCATAGAAATGTAAATATCCAGACTGCCTAAAAATAAAATAAATATAGACATATAAAGGGGTAAGTTAAATGTCCTATCACTAATTTTATTTAAATAATATACAACATAAGTTAACACTTTTTAAAATGTTTTGAACCTATGAAACCGAAATAAATTGACTTTCCTGTAAATAATAATTTAAGAAACTGTATGCTCATGTGTTTTGTGACAAGATAAAATTTTCACAGATTTAAATCATGAATCAGTTGAAGCTACACCACCATTGAAAACCTGGAAGCACTGGACGGCCGTTTCGTCCTAGGACGGGACTCCTCAGCAGTGCGCATCCACGATCCCGCACCACGCGGGGCTCGAACCCAGGACCTACTGACTTCGCGCGCGAGCACTTAACCATTAGACCACTGAGCCGGCATCCAACGGTGTTAATGTCTAACTTCGGGTTCGAGACCCGCGTGGTGTGGGATTGTGGATGCGCATTGCTGAGGAGTCCCACAACGGGACGAAACGGCCGTCCAGTGCTTCCAGGTTTTCAATGTTAGTCTAGCTTCAACTGACTCATAGTTTAAATCTGTGAAAATTTCTAAAATCTCCACAAACCCTTTCTGACAAGATAAAATTATCAGAAAATTTCGGTTTTACATGAAGTAGATTAATCGAAAGCATATGAAGTGGAAAAAAACATACATGTTTTTAATTTCAGTATGTAAATAAGTACATTTTATTAATTAAAGTAAATAAATGGTTAGTCAGTCAGCTACAATGCAGGACCACGCACATATATGCTTCGTTCCAAGTTGACATACCTCACTAACCAGATTCATAGAAGTAGTCATTTCAAAAGAAAGATGAGATATAAGAATATAGTACAGGAAGAAAGAATTAGTTCGTAGAAAGAACAATATGAAGCGATTTTAATCTCTTAGTTTAAGGGAAGACAATGAGTGTATACACCTACGCCACTGCGATAGATTCTGAGCCATGTCACCCAGAGTCTCTAACCATTGGTTACAATAGTCAAGCGGACCTAAACTAAGTAGTCTGCATCTACCAACAAGGTTCAGACTAGAGGTTAGTGACGTTGTGGACTGATGCCACGTTTTGGTTTGGACGCCCCTAGCTTTCTTACAACCATCCCCAACACTAGTCAGCATTGCACGTCATAGTAATCAGTGTTCAGGCATACGTAACACGCGGCACAACCGTCTCAGTCGATGAAGATTTACAACCTCATCAACTGATTTACTTCTAAGGTGATCATATATAATTTACCAGAGTGAACATCAACTCTGAGATGCAGGTACATCCAGCTGAAGAGTCCCATATAGGATGAAACGCGAGTCAAACTGGATTCCACTGCTAACCACTATCGATCTTTGCTTGTAATGCTTGTAAATTAAGGCAATGTCGAGGCAATACGCACAATATGCACATATACCAATAAGAGACTGATCAATTTCAGCTCTAAACATCAATGGGAAGATACAAGTAATAACAATACTAAGTGAATTTATCAAAATTGTTCTAAATAAAACATATGATCAATTCAATAAATGTGTAAACTGAGCTACTAAGTTTGTTAGCTATGGATCTAACAAATATTGATGTACTCAAATGTTCATCATCCTGAGTCAGTTTCATTTCATAGATTGTTAATCAACGGAATCGGAGATTTCTTACATTTATTCAATTAACACTAGAATGGAAATCATTGAAACATTATTTTACAATATTTATGGTTATTCAACCATAATGGTAGATCATTTTCCTTATGTATTAGAATTGGCTGTATTCGATCTATTAATGTTTTTGAAATACCGAATAGTCATTTGAAATTGAAATTGAGGTAATCAAAGGTGTAACAGAGCAATAACTAGAAAATCTGAGTCCTAAGAATTTCTTTGGGTTGTTTTGAGCAAAAGAAAGAAAATATTACAAATGTATTGTAAGCAATTAGGAATATTTTGAAGGAAATAATAGTATTTAAGATATAAGAAAATGACATTTTTATAAACGTTACTTTGTGCCATTATTGAATATAATAGAATATTACATTATTTGTAAGATCCAGTGGTGCTGAGTTTTAAGATTTAAACCACTCAGAAACCCACTAATCTTTTCATTCTATATCATGAATCTGGATATGTTTATTGATACATAAATTAATCAAAATGTAATAGAAATATAATTTAGATGAGTATTGTTAAGCTTCTGTAAATATTTGAAATTTTCGATTTGGAGGTCATAACAATATGTAGGCGATGAATATCATTTTTAATAAACATGATCATCTGGTTTTACAGTAACACATGCTTATATATATATATATATATATATATATATATATATATATATATATATATATATATATATATATATATATATATATATATAACAATTTCTAAATCAATTATATCATTTATAAAGATTACACAATCAATCATTTATACTATTGCATAAACTTTGATGAAAAGATTATACTTGTTATGGTAGATATAGGTCATTTTATATCTTCTAATTTCCACTAACAGTTTGGAACATATAACTTACATAAAGTTGAAAATTCCAGTCAAAAGCTGTAGTCCCTATGTTTGCAATTCGTCTATAATACTCCAGTTTGTTTCTTTTTACAAATGTACAAATGCCTTGACTCTTTATTAAGCAGTCGTAATATATTAGTAGGATTCATGCGAAAAGATGTGCTATAACTTGTGACCTTGTGCCCTAATAATACATGACGTAATGATACTGCCAATTAGAGGAAAGTGACTTATCTACCGGACCAATGACGCATAAAACCGTACGAACAGTCTAGAGTCCCTATCGGTTCTTCATCCAGCCTAGATCTTCTTGTTGGATCTAGAACACCATTTTCAGTCTCCGCCTTGTGAATCATGTATTTCAAACATACTCGGTTTATGTACAAACTAAACAGACCACATCATACCATACAATGGGAAACAAAATTTGTACAAAATTTAGTCAAAAGTGGCTGTGAATGTGGGAGACCAATTAATGGACTGAACATAACTCAAGAACGGTAAATCGTATATTAATAGTCTACGAATCAAAATAAAGCTTATAATATGAGAAATATAAATATTTATAGTTTACTTACTGAACAATTACACAATAAAAATATATAGTATTAAACCACAAATAGATCCCAACAGTTGCGATTCATCATTCTCGTTGGGATATATCAATATGTTAAAAGAAATGAACTAGAAAGTAGCAAACCCTATTTACCGTTGTCTTTTCTTATAAGTAGAATGAGAAATTTGTTTATTAATTTGCATAAAACTAAATGACTAGTATCCCACAGAAAATCTCTTTGTACTTTAAAAATTTATTGATCTGTCAGTGAATATTTTTGATAGTGTACTGTGGACACTAACATTCAATGTTGAATGTATTCGAAATAAGAAGTTATTTATAATCAAAATTTGAAAGTGTCGATTCAACTTATCTCACATTCATCAAGATCATATATAATAATATTAATCCATAAAAACAATCTGTTTACCCATATTGGGCAATGAATCATTGTAACTACATTATTTATTTTTTCACTTTACGTTTAACAACAATCTTTCTTTTTTTGATTGAGATCATGAACCGATTGATGTTAGACCACCATTGAAAACCTGGAAGCAGTGGACGGCCGTTTCGTAGATGCTCATTGCTGAGGAGTCCCACAACGGGACGAAACGGCCGTCCAGTGCTTCCAGGTTTTCAATGGTGGTCTAACATCAATCGGTTCATGATCTCAATAAAAAAAACTTAACAATCTCCACAACCCCCAAAGTTTTATATTTACTTTATCAAGCTTGATCAGTTCAAGAAGTTTATATGACTCTATTTCATGATATCAATAAGAATTCACCAGGTGAAATGGAATCGATTTTTTATATACCTTTGTAATTTCAATCAACTGAAGTAATGAGACCTTTGTAGATGAATAAAATTCGAATAATACCAATCGTAATCACAATACTAGTAAAGTCGATGAAAATTATCTTGTCGTTACTGTTAATGAGAAAAAAAATATTAAATAATTTATGTTGAAAAACATCACTGAAACTTACGCTGTCCCATGGAGAAAATCTCCAAAACATTACTAAATCTTTTGCTTCCATAAACATTCCTTTAATAGCAACAATAATGATTGCCGATAAACAGAACTTTAAGACAAATGAAAAACAAAACAAGAAAAAAAACTGGTAAGGGAAAGAGATAATATATGAGTTTATAACAAAGAAGTAGATATTAATTCTCTTATAATATAAAGATCCTTTAGATCTATTCATATATTGGTAATAATTCTACGTAAATTATAGTTTATTTTTTCACTGAATAACATATATTCTTCAATCGTGGTTGATCATCATTTTCGGACACTTTCAAATGACATCGATTTGTTCTGATGTATCCATATCCTTATCAAAAAGACTCAAGTTTACCACTTAAAGTTTCAAAATATTAGACAGTTTTTCACCAAATTACTTTAAAAGCATATTATTGCATTGTAAGAGATATTTACTTGAATTAAGGCTTCTAAACGGAAATTTATTTAGTTAAGTTAGCTTTTTATGATTTTTTGGTAATCAAAGATGAAGCTGATCATCTAACAATCGTTTCTTTTATTGAGTTTGAATAAATTCAGTATATAACCTGTGATTGTGTTAGAATATGTTAATTTCACATGGTATGCTCAATAGATTGAATAACGAAAACGCACTGTGTGAAAGATTTAGAATTTTTTTGAAACTAACACAAAGTGGAATAGGTTAGAAGTTTTATGATCTACATAATTATGTATTACATGTGCATTGATATTCTGTTTAAGATCATTAGTGATACAGTTAGCTAAGTATCTACTATAATTCAGATTGAATACTACATTTTCTATATCTTTCATTATAATCATATATTCTATTGTTATTATATTAATGAGAACATTTTTCTAACTAAATTACATTCAACTTACAATAGGCACGGAAAAAAGTAGTGGTCCAATAAAGAACAAAACCAGTATAAGTAGTAAACATGAGAAAAGACTGGCAACCTGTGTACGTCCACCAGCAGATACGGCAACAGCAGATCGAGATAATGATGCAGCCGCTGGATATCCATGAAAAAATGAACTGATTACATTTGTCGCTCCGAAAGCAATAAGCTCCTAGATTGAGAATATCGAAATATTACTTTATTAATTGATATTTGAGTAAAGAAATGTATTAATCGTGGATAATTTCAAACGATTCTTTTTTCGAAAATTTAAAACAAATATCTGTTGATTAATTTTATCATGTCAGAAGGTTTTATTTTCTTACCAATGAAAGAGGTTTATGGCTTTCTATAACTTATCACAAAATGATTACTGTATTAGTTTGAAAAATCATTTCAATGGAACCGTATTTTATGCATAAATGAATCAGATCTACCCCATTTAAGTAGTTTCCTTGATAAAATGTATGTACAACAAGGATGATGAACATTGTGAAATGAAGTGAATTTATTAAATTCGGTATAGTCCAAATCATCTACAATCAGAACGATTTGTACAAGTAAATGAAATATTTTGCTGGTATATTTTTATATGTAACTTTCTAAAATATTCGGACTTAAATTAGGGCTTCTTGAATTTTTGTATGGAGTTCAAGCCCCCCACCAAGTTGAGTAAATGTTAATTAGATCTTTATCTTAAAACGAGTAAAGTTTATAAATGTAACTATTGTGCACCCATATGATGAATATGACATGATATGAAAGTTAATTTACAAAAAGCATTTGGTAATGATCTAGATTACATCTGAAATGTTAGTCATTCAGTAAGGGCACATGATACGATTTAGAAAATAATAAAAGAAATTTTGTTGTGTCTGTTCAGACCATTAGAAGTTAATAATCTAACAGAAAAGTTATTAAACAACTATCATCTATGCGGTAAGTTGGAGAGCCGAAAGGTTATGGTTATCCGATTATCGTTTGTAAGCGTTATTTCATTGATGCTATAAATGATGTCCACTCTAGAGTTTATGCAATTTGGTCACAATCATGTAACTATCTTCAGAATTATAAAGACTCTTAAAATAATATGGGATGAAGTCATTTCGACAGGTCATTTATTATTATTATATATCACTTACAGCTGATCCTATTACAAATCTTTATACATATATTAACCACATACAAACTACTTTTACATTTTAACGTTTTGTGTATTCTCAAGAACATAATTCTTTCATATCAACTGCTTTTCAAGTGACTGAAAATTCACTTAGGGTCATCTGTAAAATAGTTATCTCACTGCTTTTTCTATAGTTTTCTATAACACTAAGTGATTAAACTTTGTCAACATAGGAGGTCAGAGGGTACTCAGTAATAAAACAGCCAATGTCACTAAAGCAATTTTTCTCAACAAAAACGAATGGAATTTGGAAGTACTTTGCCATTTTATGGTCGGGTAAATCACTACATTTATGGTGTGTAGCCTTATATTTCTAGAACTCGATAATCATGGTTACATCTCAGCTCCATTTTTCTATGTAGGATCTTTTGAAGTAGAAATATGGCAAGCATCAAAACAGTACGATTAATCATTAGTGGTCAATACCGTTAAGGCTTTTTAAAAAGTTTCTTATTATCCCGCTATGCGTTTAAACAATGTTCTTTCAAAATACATTTTTCTTCCAACTTCAAATGGTTTTTTTAATTATTCATACATAGCAAAGAAAACCAAACAACCAATGAGCAGAGATATATATTTGTTTGTAGTGAAATCCAGGAAGAGAGTTTAGTTGTATTTGGGACAAGTTAGCTTTATGTACTTAGATTCCAAAGTTGATGTTCGTTCTGTGACTTGAACCCAGTACCTTTCTATCCAGATGCCATGACATTATCCACTTAGCTGATGAGTTATAAAAAGAACGAAACTCATGTCCTTGATTCCACTACTAGCCACCATCCATCTCCTCTCCAAAAGCTTTTGACTTATTGACAATATTGAGGCCATTCACATAAGATTCACACATGCCAAAAAGTGACTGTTCAATTACAGTCCTAACACATCTATGGTAAGATTCAAAGGTCAAAGATCCAAACAACTAATTGTTTTGATGTTTCATTGTTCAGAAATTAAGAATTATTTGTGTAAACGTCTTGTGAAGACTCATGATCTTGATATGAAGAAAATACTAAGAGACTGTTTAACTTTTATGTGATTTATATCTTATTACAAACATTTGTTACAATTTGTGTTCAAATAAGATAGATTTTAGCTCTTAAGAAGATTGAATGACATAAAATCGATTGATCTCATTTCATTTCGTCATTCATTGTCAAACTACATACCAATTTAATGAGACCTTAGTTTCATCTAAGAAAACATAGTTGATTATTTGGATTGGTATATTTTAATTATGGTAGTTCTGTTTGTGCTAATTTGTAGTAAATATATTCTAAATAGAAGATGATCATATCTTCGTTATTTTCATTTCTATCTTCCGCATTCATCGAACTTATCTTGTAATGTGGTATTTTGTAATCACTGTCAATAATTTGGTTAGGTACATCAACCTAGAATGTATTTGCGATACAACAAATGTGTGTTTATAATAATCTGAATATAATTATGGTAGCACTTTTTAAAAAAAAAAAGAACATGAGCAGATGAGTTTGTATAACTAAAACAATTACACAATGTAACCTATTTATTTAAAGAGAAAAATGTTTGTAAATATTCACCTGCTGAAATGTTTTGTACATAACTATCAATGATTATTTGATTATTGATAAAAGGTAATTGGTTTAGAATGAAACCAACTAAAAAGCTTATAAAAACTCAGTTGCTGTTGAACTATCTTATCTAAGATAAATGCCATTTTGTTCAAAGTCGGTTACAGTTTCACAGATTTATTTGCTGTTGATACTTTTCTGAATTTCCAGTTTTATTATAACTTCACACGCTATAATTCTCAATTCTACTTCCTCTTTTCCGACTGCATTCTTTGTTTAGATTCTTATCTTTCACTGATAATAGAAGCATTTTAGATGTATTGATTTTTTGTCCCCGTGTTTGTGTAAGATATGCTAATCTGAACTGATTCCTACTTTTTCTATGACGAACCTTTGTATTGAATTTTATTCATTCTATGGGCAGCTGAACTTGTGAAGTTCGATTTTCCAGATAAACAAATTAAACTAATATCAAACTTCTAATTTCAAGACTAATATAACTAGCAGTCCAATTGAAATCCATCATACGATATTAGTTAAATACGATTTTTTAGTTGACATTTTTACTTGATTATAAAGCTAATGAAGTTACCATCAAGAAGTTTGGAAGTATTCTGCTCAAGTGAAGACTTAAATAAATTGTAAAAGATTAGTTAATTAAACAATTTGTTATAAGTTGAAATGATATAACACTATTAAAAATGTCGGGTTACTTGATTAGTATTGATCTTATAGTTAAAACGTGTTGCAAATATTCGTGCAAGGGATACACTAATTGAAATACCAATAACTGCTGAAATAATACTGTCACCAATATGTGGACCCATTAACGTGATATCTGGTACTTCTGGATACTGAATTCTGAAATAAAATGATATACAGAAATCGTATTAGACAAAGAGAATTAATCTGATTTTGGATTTTATGAAGAGTATTTTATTATGAGAAGAAACTATTCTTTGAGCAGTTAATCTACTGACTTGTGAAAATCAAGTTTGTAATCGTTCATATAAATAATTTCACTAGTTCATAAGTTTTTATTAGGTGAATTCAAACACTCGGATCTTTCTATTTATCAAATGACAATACTCTGTCGTCATATTGTCACCGTTAATGATATTAAAATATTATCTACTACTAATTGTCATGTAATTATCCCAAATACCATTTTACTAAACTCTCTAACTTCATCAAATAACTGTGTAATATAAGATTGCACAAGTTAATGAAAGTCATGTTCACTTTTCTACGCAACATATGTATATCATTTTAATGAATTCATTGTTCGTCTCATCAAATAATGATTCCTTATCAACCTGAAAAACATTATAATTATTTCTTACATTTCTTAATTTAATTACAAAATTTTACAGCTTCATCATACTACTTTCTACCTGTTTTGAAGTGTTTAAGCTCTTATATTGTCCTGTTTCATACTATCTTAAAATACATGTCCATTCAAAGAATCTAAATTTGATCCGATATATATATAAAGACTACCTTTTTTACGTTAACGTAATAATAATAATGGTCTATTAAGTTATTGATCCAATACAATATTGTTCACATCCATATTAATTAAGGTTATCAGAAGCAACTACTTGAATGTTTTTTTAAGATTGGTAATATACTAAAAATATCTTTTCTTGAGCCAGTAAACTATGGAAATACATAAATATATGTTTTTCTGATGATATTAAGAAATGTTTATTTGAGTTAATAGAGTTAACAGTACTGAAGTGATATCTGTGTAGGGGAGTTGTACTAATTTGATTTGATTTCAACATGAATATAACTGTAACGACAAGTTTTGACAAAACAAATGGTAAATTATAACATTTGAATAACATTATTGGATGATTAATCAAATTTAAGAATGTTACACTATTATTTTAAGAACTTTTTGTCATTAGTGAAACAACAAACTGGCCAAAAATTCCTGAATTTATTGTTTCACAGAAACGTTTAATTTCATGGAAGCCTATCAGTCGGAATATTTTATATAGAAAGCCACTTTTACTGTAAATATACATTTAAGAGGATCTGATTAGATGTTACTAAAATTTGTTGAACTGTTTTAAAGGTTATGTATTTGCATATTCTAAATTGTTATGCACAACTACTCTCAGAGCTCTTCTAAGGTCACTAGGCCGGTTAAAGGAGTAAGGTTGGGCATAGGGTTAGCAAACCCGTTCCGCAAATAGAATATCGCTTAAAAGCGACAACCAGAAAATTGCTCTACATGCAGTTAGTTACAGTTTAGTCCCTAGTTATAATGTAAATATCAACAAGAAGTAAGCTTTAATATTTGTAAAGGTTTGGATTTATAATGTTCGGACAGTGAACAGAGACTACTTATTCTTAATAGTCAGAAGATCTCTATAGATTATTAAAGAACGAAAGAAATTTAAGTCAACAACTATTTTCAATGACTTCATCAGAAGTCTATAATTCTTGTAGCCAAGATAAAACATACGTGAATAAGTAAATCAAAAATATGTTATATGGTGAACTTATGCATGGGTTACGGATTAAATATAACCTTAATGTTCATAGTTTAAATCACGATCTGATCTTAAATCACGAAAATTTCACAGTGTCTGCTAAGCCAACTTTACGTTTTAGATATGTCATTTGTAAATTTGTTGGGTCATTTTAAAACGAGAGTATGAAAACTCTTTGTTGTGTGTTGAGTTTTAATAAAATGACTTTAGTTAACATTAATTGATAACAATCTGGTCATGTCACTGTAATGTATAATAAGAGAACAAAGAATTAAAATCTTAAGTTCATGTTGTTTAAGAGAAATGAATGTGCAAATTAAGATATGGAAAAGATACAGATAACAAGAATTCTGGATAAGGGTTTATTATATATATATTTATATTAAGCATGGAGTAACCTCATTGTGAGCGATTGTACACACAAAATATATCTCTTTTGGCTGTGTACGTTTGGTTTCCTGGTGATGATTCTACTGGTTTCCGTTATGCAGAATAGACGTAATCTTTTACATTGGAGAAGGTTGTTCTGGAATTGGTATGAAATCAAATGATTTCATTTATTATTATGATATGATTACTATATGCCACACGAGAAATAATGACCCTGTTGATCGATCCCATCACCTCAAGTATCAACCATTCCGATACATGTTAATGAATACTCAAAGAAAAATAATTCTGAGTACGCCCTTGTAACTGGCCCCGCAATGGTAGATAAATTGGTAATAGCATATGGAAGAGCTCATAATCGGTATCTTATACTTGATCCTTTGAAGTCAACCACCACGTTCCATTTATAATTTAGTTTTGGATCAAGAGATTTCTTGCTGACTTTGTAAGCTTTTATCCTATTCTTCGGTTTTTTGACTAAGCTGGACAAGTACTGCTTTATAGATTGGTCTTTAGTGTATCCATTCTTTTATCTACATTGTCTTGAGTAAAATAAAAGTTTGGTTTTATGTTTGAAACATTTGACAGCAGAGCCCACTGACAAAGTTATTAAAAGTAATAGGTCGTTCAATTCATGGGATCTTTCAAGCATCAACATCAGGTGGGCTCCCGGTTGCACTGAAAAAACTTGATGAGTTTGTTCATTATAATTGAAGATTGATTGAAGAGAAAAACCATTTAAGACTTTATTGAAAGCTTCATTCTAAAACACCATAGTCTGAAATTTTATGTTGAATCTATCTGTCAATGTAAAATCAAACCAAATGTTAAATAACTGTAAAATAATGCTTCAAATCAAATTGAACCTATTTAAACTAACATCAAGAAACATACTATGCTAATAAGGATCTTTTTCAAATACTAAACAATTTATTCGTGAATTATGTTTGAGAAGTGCTGAAAACATGAGAAATCAAGGAAGGGGTTTAATTATCTATAGGACTTAATAAACAACTACTTGAAATAAACTAAAATAAAAAAAACTATAATCGTTAGTTTTAATAAACATTTCTTGTTGTCAAACCCGTTTCTATGAAAAAAACTATAAAATATCTTACCCTTTTGATATTTCACCAACAATTTTAACATCATATTTATCGTGTAAATCAACTAAATATGAAACAATGGTTGATAATATAACCTGTGGTATAGAATAATTAGTAATAATTTAAGTATAATAAATGAATATAACAAATAGAACTGGTTAACAATCTAAATATGATTTGATTACTTGATATCAATAAGATAAAATGTTATATTTCTCATATAAAAACCCAACTTACTATAAGTAATCTATACCTCATATTACTTTAACCATGATTTTGTTTATGATTGCTATCATTATCTTGTTTGGCTTACTTTAAAATGATCTGTAAAACGCTACAATTTTATATCTTAATTTTTAACTACGTTTTGAATAATGAATATAAAAACCAAAATGTTTATGCCTTTTAAAATGATACTTTGAAAGAATACTGAAGCAGTATTCATTTCAACTATACAGTTAAAAGTATGTAATTAACTCGAATATAAATTGGCTTTTAATCAATTCAATTTTTTTAAATTAAGCTTTATCGCACCGCATATTTATGAATTTCTCACATCTTCTATACTTTAACCACTTCGGTGCCCCATATATACATATACTTGAAGGTTATGAAGATATAATGAATACAACATGGAAGTCTAAAGATCAATATTAGTCTGGATTCTTAGATAAACGTTCATACTTCAGTTCGCTGATAATAAAAGATAATTCTACTTATTTATAACAATCTAAAATTTGTTATGTAACTAATGAATACTTTATACATATATATCATAATTTGTTTTCAGATCAATAGTTCATCTACGTTAGCCTTTCATGTTTACATTCATGGGTATATACAATTTCAATCCACAACGATTTTTATAAATTTATGATAATAAATAATGGTTGGAAAGTTTTACAGGTAAGTAGATTATAACTAGAAAGATAATTTTTGTTATAATAATTATTCAGACAGTTAATTTACATTGATTTTACTAAAACTTAAGGAACTATTCTTGGTGAATTATCATTATCAATATTATCTCAAGCAAAGAACATGTTGAAAATCTAAAAATATGATCTTGAAGGACTAGATTTCAATTAATAAGCAGTTTAATGTTTTTTACTTAATCTATTGGTTTAATATGTAATTCTATTAATTTGAAAGTTCCATAAACTTAAGCAAAAGTGACTGCTTTCTGTCTAAACTGATTTCCGTCATCAAATATTTCTGGAGTATTATCAGAAGGGGGTTTTGTGGAGATATCAGTAATTTAATAGTTGAATTTATGAGTCAATTACAGCTAGACTATCATAAAAAACCTGGAAGTATAGGACTCCCCAGAAGTGAGCGTCCACAATTCCGCCCTGCACGATTCGAACCCAGGATCTGTCGGTCTGGCGCGTGAACGCTTGACCTCTAGACCACTGATCCGGCATCCAGCGATGTTAATGTCCAACTTAAACCAAGTCACGGAATCGCGCCACCGTCCACCATTGTCTCCTGTAGGGCGGGATCGTGAACGAGCACTACTGAGAAGCCTCATAATAGGACGAAGTGGCCGTCCAATGCTTCCGGGTTTTCCATGGTGGTCTAGCTTTAATTGACTCACGAATTTCTAAATTATTTAAAATTAATATATAAAAAAACAACAATTTAGTGTTTAAAAACATTGGAAATCCAACTCACAATAATTAAATCTATAGGAAGAGGAATAAATGAAATTTTCTTAAAAACTGGACTAATTCGTTCTTTGTAAACAGCCAAAATTGTTATACATGCGCTAGCCATCAACAATGTTGGTATGTTGGTATGTTGAATAGTACGAAATATTTCATAGTATGTCTGTTTAATACAAAAAAATGCATACAAATAAAGCTAGTTCACATTTGCACGAAGAAAGATATTAACTACACGTTTCCTAAACAAAGCTATATTAAAGTATGCTTATCTCATAATAGTTTTGAAACAAATTAGAGCTGATATTAAACATTTTTTTAGTTTCATGGAGATTAAAAAATATTGATTTAAAAAGATAGTTTAAAAAACTTCTATTCTGTTGGTCAGATATTAGTGCACAATCATGATTTACATAACCCAGGTCTAGGACATTCAATCAATTACCATTACTAGTAAACAGTGAATACTTTTTTCTTTAGTTTGCAGTTACATTTCGGTTTAAGTCAATACAATTTAGACAAAAATAAATACTTAAGTTGTCACTACTACACAAATTCACTAAGATTTTTACTGCACCATATACTGGTAAATAATTTAACAGTATTACGTAACTCCAACACATTATATCAAATTACTGAATGATTAAAAATGGGCAGTTTTCTGTAGAATAGACAGATTGTTATTAATTGACATAAATGTTATTGGTTTCTACAGGATAATAAAATAAATTTACTTCATATTATATAACTAACTGCCAGAGTTTTGTAGACAACTGTCAAATTTTAGGTAGGAAACATTTGTAATTTGAATGAAAGTTTATTAAAAGCCAAAAATCATCTATTCGCACAAAACATAACTCAGTATTCGATTAATTCATAGACTCAAACACGAACTATGTCGTTTATATTCACCTCAAAGTAACGAAATAACTATTACAGACTGAGGCACTCTTGTATTCATTAGATAACAATAAAGCTGAGAGCTAATGTTTTCTGATATATTTCTGTAACTAATTGCAGGATTTCTCAATCAGAATTCTATGTTTAGTATTGTAGATCGGAGTGATACACTAAAAAATTGCGATTCAGTGAGATTAACTAATAATACCTTATCGGCAACAAATATAGATAAAATAGTTATGGTAATTAAAAAGTAAGCTAATTAGTTGAATAGAGCAAGAACAACGATTGGTACAGAATAATATGAATTCATTTTATTTCGTTAGGTTCTCATCAGTTGTTCACAACCTAAATTATTTGAAATTCAAATTATAACAGATATTGACATTTGTTATACATAAGAGTGTGATTAAGGATCAATACATGTATATGATGATGTAGCAAGCAAAGATTCATATAGAGTTAATGAGCTCATAAAATGTTTGATTCGAATAAATAAATAAAGTTAGAGAGGGAAAGTTCTGGAACATTGAAATAGTGATTAGAACTTATGAAAATAGATTAATAGTAATAAAGAAAATATGAATTGAAATCAATCATTTATGTATGATGTAATTTAAACTTCAAAAGGAGTTGCAATAATGACGCAATAAATAAATAAATAGGAGCAAATGAATAGAAAGGGTGGGGGTTATTGCTACCAGGGTAAAGAAAGATTTATTACTGTCTCTTTTTGTATACATAGATCAGGTTTTAAACGTTTGATTGCTAACGCTTCAGCGAATTTCAAAAGGTTGGAGTTTGATTGTTTGTTAATCACCTTGAAGGACTTCAGTATATCAACTTCATGTCCTGTATCAAGGAGATGTCTTGCGATAGCACTGTTGAAATTCAATACAAGTTTGACTAGAATAATAACTAATATATGAGTTCCAAATTTATGATGAAGAAAAACAATAGTCTTTTATTGACCCTATTTATCATTACTCCTTTCGTTTCGAGAAACAATAATAATATAAAATTATGAAACTTTATTAACAATTCTGTCAAAATGGCCTTGAGCTTTAATCTGAGTTAATAAATTTGAAGAGCTCACGCTTTATAATCAATAATTTATTTTTAATACAGTACAGTATCAAAATTAAAAAACAGCGTGAAAAATGCTGAATTTTCTTAATTAATCAAATTGTATCAAACTCACATATGGTATAGTGAATAAACCAGGAAACCGGGGCAATTTTAAACCTAGTACATTCTTTACTTGAGTTGTAAATACATGAACGGCTACTCCAACAGTGAAACCAGATGTCATCGGTACAGAAAAGTATCTGATTAAGCTGCCTAATTTGAATAATCCCATTAGAAGCTAAAATTAACAAAATAAAAAGCCAAGATTTATACATCTTTGATAAAAATTTATAACTATATCTTAAATGACATAAATTAATAAATAAAATTATGTAATACTGAGATTTTATTTGATTGCAATGAGATAGTCTGTAGAAAGTCTTATCAACTACAGCCGTCTAGAATTGTCACAGGTACTACTGGACACAATGAAACGCGAATGAGGGGTTTCTACAAGAAGTAAAGGCTAAATCAACATTGATAATGCTTATCATCAAGTAACCAAAAAAAGTGTAAATATTAAAATCTAATTTGAAATCTCAGCAATGATAACCAGACAAATTGATCTAATGATATATTTGTTTAATTTCAGTACAAGTCTGAAGTATGTTTCACCAATGTTAAAAACATCTCAAGATTGATTTCAATTATTATTAAATGAGTTCTATGAATGGTTGACTATTTGTCTCATAAACAGGTTGTATAAAAACTGGTTTAAACCATTGTTATAAATTTATGCCACATCTAGATCTTCCAACTAGTTTTAAAATTAGCCAAAGGAACACTGATCTTTAAAAATACAAATTATTTTGAGTAGCCTGATAAGTTAATTACACACTACAGAACAAGAGCATTCCTAACGCGTATTACCCTACGTTTTTAAAAGAATATAAATAAATATAAATAAAGCATTTTATCTTACTTGTACAATGCCTACTGAAAATCCTAATGCTAATGCATAAGGAATTCTGAATTGTTCTGCATCATGCATTGAAGTGTCATTATGAGTCATATTACCATATAATGCTTCATTTGCTGATTTTACTGAAAATAAACAGGATATCAACAACAACAAAAAAATTAACAAGATATTTAAATTCACTATAAGTATAATCATACAAAGGAATATGTTGTAACTTGTGCCCTTGTGCTCTATTAATATATGACGTAATGATACCGCCAATTAGAACAAAGTGATTTATTGACCGGGACAATGACACGTAAAACCCGTACGAGCATTCTACAGCCTTATCGATTCTTCCAGCCTAGCTTTGTCTGTTAAGTCAAGAACACCGATATCAGCCTCCGCGATATGAATCATGTATTTCAAACATACAAACCAAACAGACCACATTGCACCACAAAATAGAAAACAACATTTGTACATGATCTAGCCGAAAGTGGCTGTGAATATGGGAGACTGTAATTAATAAACTGGGTATAACTTAAGAACGGTAAATCGTATAACAATAGTATTTAGGCCAAAATAAAGCTTATAATAAAAGGAACGCAAATATGCATACTTCAATTACTTAACAATTAAACAATAAGAATATAAGTATCGTATTGGTCCATAAATAGTTCACAAAAGTTACCATTCATAATTCTCGTTGGGATATAACAGAATACAATTTGAAAGTTACATTGAACTAAAGTATATATACTATGAATCTAACTAATTTGTAATGAATGAATCATTATAAATAAATTACACTCGTAATAAAAAATGACCGATAGGCTAATAATGGTATATTTAAAATGATATTTAATTATCCTTCAAAACATTTGAATCTAGAAACACTAACAATAATAGTCCGTTAACTCTAAAACCAAGTGTTATCGAACACCAACTTAATCCTGAGTAAATAAACTATTTCACATGACGACAAAATATGGTGCTTTTTCAACCTATCTATGTTTTAAATATACTACTTATTATTATTGACAGAGGTTGTTATCGCATTCATCAGATTATAGATTAAAGAAGCAAAGTAAATTTGTTATTGTGCTATTTCAGTAATATCTGAACTGATCCTTGTATTTAACAAGGAAATATTTAGTAAGAAAACCGTTGTCCCTAGGTTTTATTCAGTATCGTAGCTAATTCAATATAGCAACGGCTTTTCAATAGTCTATTCTGAAACTTCACTGATAACCTTAAGATTTACAGATCACTTTTGTATGTCATTTTTCAACAGTTTATTTTTAAAATAATTGAACAGCTTTTCTAATACAAACTGTTCAAAGAAGGATTGGTTTCGCTACACATTTAAAGTTTGTCAGTATTGGTCAATAACAAGATAGTTTTAATTCTATGAATATCTGATGTTAAAAAATCAAACTTAAACCTGTAGTATCATTGTAGTGAACAGAACACGAGTGAGGAACGATCGAAAGTACTTAGCGCAAACTTACAGGGCTTGTTAATAAAATTTAACAACCATAAAGTAAATGCTTAATTTGCAAAATGTTAATCGATTGTCTTAAAATGACCCAGACTTCATTGTTCTTGCATTTTCATACAAATTAAATTGTTTCTATTCTTTACTGTTCGATCCTCTTGTCTCTCTGCCGCCAGACATTCTGTTCACGACTAACATCATATACAACTTATGACAATATAAGTAGCACGCACCACACCATTACTATAACCGATGGGTTCATTATAATCAAGGTATTTAATAATAGTATTCTGACATCATATACTGAAAGGTTAATTTGAGAAAAGGTGTTCAACTTCTAGGATCGTAAAAAGGAACTGTAGGAAAGTGTAAAATCTTAACAGAATTATATGTAACACACTTTAGTTTCTTTTTATTCTATAAGTCAATTATTAGGAATTTATGATCTTGTTTCATGTATTTTGTTTATCACTATTGCATTTAAAAATCTTTGAGAGAGCAGTTTTACTGTTCATGGATCTTACGGACATATAAATTATGATTCATTACATTGTAGATAAAAATATTGAGACAGATTTCATCTATCATTTAAATATATGTATAATATCCGGGAATAATTAAAATAAAATCTTCTTCACTGAGCCGTCTTAATTCTTCTTCAATGACACGATGGGTTACTTCCGTTATGTATTATTCATAATAACATAATATTTACTGAAAAACATGCTTAAGTATAACAAGTAAATTACTTCAATGAAAGTTATTAAACTTACTACTATCAGCCTTCAGATGAATTACTCTATCAAGAAAGTCACCTGTTAGTAAACTAACCACTGCCATTGTACCTGAAACAAAAAACATCAGACAATTGTTTTAGAAAAGGATTTATTCTTTAACAAAGAGAATAGAAAGTATTCTTTTTCCAATGGTGTGCTTTTTAGTCGACATAAGAAATTAAAAACTCAGCACATATGAATGTATGTCATGCAGTTTCTTCAGTTGATATTATTATAATTTACAGACAACCAAAATATTCTGTAACTATGTAGTTCAAAAGCAAATATCACCTTATACATTACTTTATCATTATCTAATATCAAACGTCGATTGATATTATATTGTATTAGAAGTCAATGAAATATGCAAGTATATTAATAGACATTATTGAAAATGGAAAACAGTTAGCTGTCAAGTTAACTATATTCCTACAATTTGTTCAAATGATATAAGATTAGCTATTCATATCATTCTCCTTAGTGAATGATAAAAAAACATGAACTGGAAAAAAAATTTAATAAAAGAAACTGATTGATCTAAAAAGAATGTAGTGGGACAAGTGAGCAACACTGATAATTAGTTTATGGAAAATTTGCTGTATTTCGTTAAATCAATGAAATTAATCTCAGAGAAAAGTGTTTGAAACTATATTCTTTAATAAGATTCTAATCAATCTTAACTAACAGTATGTGAATAAAGAAACAAAATGTGTTTGATCTGTATTACATTATGATCCTTGAGAAAGGTATTTAAAATACCTTAATAAATTAGAAACTGTGTTTCATACACTGAAGTCGACTTGTATATGATTGTGTTCTCAGAAATAGTTAACATGGATTCATAAGTTAAATTAAAACATCAATATTTTTTTATTCTTTAGTACCTAGTCGTCTACTTAATGGTAGTTAAAAGAAAATTGATTCAATTTTGATTACTTTTAAATGTACTTAAAAGTAACACGTTATGAGTAAGTATGATTAAGATAGATTACAAACTAATTAGTTTGTTTAGAAATCTACACAATATACATTCATAACTTTTGCTTCATTGTAAACACAGTTCTAAGCTCATTATGATATCTCCGCTATAAATTAAAATGAAATGGTCAACATATGAACACAAACTAAATATTTACATACTAAACATTTTATTCATATCATTTAAATTATTTCTTTTCAAGCAATATTTTATAAAGTAATTATTATTGAAATCAATATTTGTTTTCCAATTATAGTAATGCTAAATGTGCGGGAAAAACTAATTTAGTCAGTATATATACAAACGTCTAAAAATGCCCTAGTATGGACGAGAGTGGGGAGAGTCAGCTCTCCCTTTCCAGATGGTCTCACATGGCCACGCGTATACAGCCACTTTCAGGGAAGTCCTGCTCACTTCCTTCGCGTGGTGGGGTTGTTGTTTACGAAATTGAGAGGACAAAAATAGAATGTTCGGCGCTTTAACCTGGTCGGTGGATATGGAGAGTTCACCTAGGGGAGTTAAAAAACCCTTTAGGTCGAAGGCTCCGGGTATGGCCCCCTAAGAAAACCAACTGCTTCGGTTTGGGAACCCGGACAGTATCGCAACCCTCACACATATCAAATGAGATCCGTGTGGCGCATTTGCATTTGGTGACTCTTTGTACCAATATCTGTGTCAAAATAATATATATACTAAAAAAACTATATTCTCTAGTAACTTGATTACTTAGGTTTAAACTAATTTTATTGAAATAATTTATCCCAATTTCGTGAATAATAATTCTAGTTCCTGAATACGTATTATCCCTTGACTATATGAAATACTATTCATTAAAAGTATCACCCTACCAATGGTTTTGGCTTTATAATTAGAATATACAAAATTTATTCAGCAATATAAATGAAAACCTTACCTATTGATATATGTCTGGATGTTCCAAGAAAGAAATAGATTAGCGATGGGAAAAATGAAGTGTATAGTCCATATACTGGTGGCAGTGTAGCAACTAAGGCGTAAGCCATGCCTAAAACAGTTAAAGAAAAAAATTCATTATGGTAAATTACATTCCTAATTTAGAAACTAGTTGGTAAAATACTATATGAAATAATTAAACATTATATAATTTTTTACCAGTTATTTTTTGCCACAGGCCGACTCCATATGAAAAATCAGGAAAGGCTGGATAGTTCTTTTGTCTTAGTTGGGTACTAATCAACAGTCTGTATCTATGGTTTCACTAAGGATTGAGTAAAACACCTTCATGTTCCCTGGAAAGTACTTCACAATTTGATATCTCTAGTTAATTCGTGATGTAGTGTGACAGTCAACCAGTGTCCTCGGTGATACTTGTCTAATTCCACCTGTCATGAATAAATAAAGTGTTTACATAAACATGCATATACTGAGTTGTGCTTGTTGTCTGTGAGCTATTTAACCATAACATAGTTATCTTCATGTGTGGTGTTTCTTATGTTATCTATCTTCTGGCCGACCAAATCGGTACTTATCGCCTATGCACGAATGACTTTAGATAAATAGCTCAGCTTAATGATACAGAACGATATGTTTTAATATGATAGTTTTTAGTAATTTCGTGCTATGTAAGTGAGCATCTGAAGTCATTAGACAAACCAAATTGAAAAACAATTGAATATTTTTCTGTCTAGAATACATTACACATTTTTATTCAATGAAAATTATTGATAATTGTTACGTCACATGTGAAGTGGTTTACCTATATTCAGTTTGACAACAAACACCTTATGTCTTTGTTTAGGCAGTTATACTGCTCAAAATGTAATTGAAGACACAAGGTGGTCAATGGAAATTTATTATACAATCTTAAAACTCATTTCTGTCTAGCTATTCAATTTTCAATGATCAGTTATAGAAATAAATCTATTTCTATTCTTCATATCGAATTACGAACAAATTACCTTAAATACATTTCAAGTTATGACTTTATTTTCAGTCATGCTTGGTTTTCATGTAGAGTATATAAGAAATCTTTAGTGTCAAAAAATTACTCCCACTAAATCTCATACACCTTTGAATATCAATGAATAACTTAATTCAATTCATTAGAAATTATAAACTAGAAAAATACTGTTCTAAAGATTGTAATGATATTTTCAACCCTAACCCAACCCACCGGATTCACGTATACTTTTATGTTATAGAAGACGATAGCTATTTACGTTAAGTGGATACTAGAATATATAATCACAAACTTCAACGACCAGATATGTTGAGAAATTTCAAACCTGATGAACATAAAAGTGGAAGAATCAAGAATATCTTATGTCAAACAGATGGTTATATAATGTCTAACACTTACTTTCTTATTATCAAAATTTTATCATTATGCTTCATATATTTGAAATGCAAAGAATTTAGCTGCTAAATAACGATATGTACTAAAGACTATATTTTCTATGATATAATAGATATTAAACATTTCTAACCTTGAGGTACATGCATTATTCCAACTGTAAATCCTGAAATTATATCATTGAAAAGCCAACTTTTCACTCTGTACTGCACCAGAATCTGGATGAATGGAAAATAGGTAATCAACCATTTAAAGAAACGAGTCATAAAATATTGACAGCTGTCAATTATTGATTGTTTTCTACTTTTTTTAGAGAATTCTTCATTCGTTTCTTCACGGTCATTATAAGTATTTTCATTTGTATTGACTCTTAATATTTGAGAACATTTTTGAATAAATGAAACGAACAAATGTAGACATTGTTGCCAAGTAGTTAGTGATTTTAATTTCGAATTATATCCTGCATATTGATTAAACGTTTCTTTTGTGAATAGTGGGCGATTTATTGAAATTAATGGGTTATGTTCATTGATTTCATTAGAGTCACTTTGACCGCGAACAGTTTCCATGGTTTAAAAACCAAGCTAGAAATAGAATAAATACTGATATAAAGAAGAGATGAGTGAACAAAGTTTTTGTACTTATGTATATGAGATATTAAAGGGTGCTTTATTAGCTTAATACTGTCTCTTTGATGTTCGGTATAAAATACCAGTTATGTCTTGTTTAATTTATGTAATTAGAAACAAATGAAAACTTTTGTGAGATACTAATTTCCATGTTACAATATTGTGATGGTAAATGTTAAGTTAGCGAGTCTCTAATTTTCCCTTTATATATTCAAGCGGTAAACATAGAATTTTTGTACAAGGTTAGTCACTCATTGATTATATGTGGCATAGAAATCATAAGTTCTAATGTACGTTGGTATAGCAGAAATCAACTGAGCAATATATTGTACTATTAAAATGTGAAGCAGGGGTAAAGAAATATCATATCCACCAAGCTGAAAAACGAACGATAACAAATATGGATCACAGAGAATCTAATTCAAGGATCAAAAATGACGTTATAATAAAAACAAATCAAATGTGATTAATTTTAAGCCGCATCATTTATCATCTTGAACTATACATGATGATTATTCCATTCCCTGCAACTAATAAGACTAATCACTAACAACCAGTAATATCAACTATAAGACTAAAACAACTGAAATAAAATTCACTTTGTTGCACAATCCAATACAGGTACATCCAGCTAATGAGTTTCAAATGGGACGAAACGTGAGTCCTATGTTCCGCTGGTAGCCACTGTCTCATGTGTGTTTATTTTTTAAAAAAATATCATTAGAAAAAAAATAAAATTCAAGGTGATTTTCGAAATCCTAACAGCATAATTAAAATGTCAAACACTAAAAAAAATACGAAATGCAAGTTATAAGATCTTTAAACAAAGCAAGAACAAAGATTGCTTTTCCTATGATGACTATGATTGTGGTATGTGCTATTGATGTCAACAGATACTAGTAATATGTATCACAAATCAGAAGAAAAATGCCTGGAGGTTGAGGGTTGAGAAGATCGAAGAGAACAAAACAAGAACAGAGAGTGATTGGTATGGAAGTAAGGGAGCAATAAAATCTGAGACGATAGATTGATATTTTTCAAATGAAGTATTTATTGTATGGTTCTCAGATTTTATTAAGAGATTCTGTAATTTCAAGTTCAAACACATTTGGCAGTCTCTATTTGTTTTCTCGTTCACTACATGATATTTATAATTTTTACTCTTACCTAAAATCATACAGCATTTATTATGAAAATTTAGCAACTAGTTTATTTTCTAATATATTTTCCCATGATCTGTTGAATTAGCTTATATAAAGATATTGATGAGAAATTGCTAGTCTGAAAACAGTTTCTATCTCAAAACCAACAACAAATATATTCAAAAGCTTGAAAACTATTGAATATTAGCTGAACGGATCAATTAGACCACATGAATTATCATAGATACATTTCAAATTCATTTACAGAACATTTATATTACATATGAATTAGATCTAATATAACAAAGGGGGAACATACTTTTTTTAATGTGTACTTTTTTGAAAGTATTAAACACACTTCTAATTCAGTGCATATTATAACCATTAATTAGTTTATAATTTTTCGCATCAATTTTATCCAGTTTATTATAGTTTAAATTGAGATATCACAAGAGTAATTAAAGACTTTATAATAACCAAAGACCCTGTATGCTATATTGATTTGATTAATTTATTTATCAATGAAATCATATCACAATACAATAAGCTTAAACGTAATTTTAATAGTCGGTAACAAAGAATGTTTTATTATGTCATAAATAAACACACAATTCACTAGTAGATAATGACAATTATACATTTGAATGAGTTTACAATATTGTTAATTAGAAACTGAAGCATTATTTTAAATTGCATTAAGTTTGGATTTAAAGCTTTAATAATATCCATGACAACAATTATTAACTTTATAATAACATTTACTCCTTTGATACCATAGTAAAATCAGTTTAGTAAACATAAATTGAATGTGTTTATTGATACATTCGATAAATGAATGTGTTGATATATGTGTGATTCACAAATTATTAAAAACAGAAATGTTGTAAGAAATACAAGTTTATAATTAAAATATTGAACAAAATAAAAAATAAACCAAAACAGGAAAATATGAACTCTGAATCCGTCTTTTATTTATAAGTAGTTTCTTTCATAAATTGAATTACTATTAATTAAAGAGTTAAAGATGTTGATTTTATTAAGTCTATAGGCATAGACATCTTCAATAACAGATGAACCAAGGTGTAAAACCAACAAGTGAAGAAGTTATATTCATACACCTTATACTTATTTTTTACTGTACATTACTACTTGTAGATAATAAAAATGTACATTTTATTTACAATAATTTGGCACAGAGAGACATAATTTAACCAATATGAGCTTTAAGTTTCTTGGGATCATTTAAGGTCAAGAATGATCATTACTGTAATCTTTTAAATTAGGATGAAACAGATGTTCGCTACTTTCTGAATTTACGTTTATTGATTACTGAGTAGCAGTAAATTTCGTGCTTGTTCAGTCATTATTTTTCACAGAATACTCTCATTCGGGTTGCAATTCTTTCAGTAGTCTAGGTGATCGAACATAGCATTTACCACGCTTTTATGTCATATGACTAGAGGTAATTAGGTATAAACTCTGAATGTAGACCTGAAATCCAACAAGTTGGCGTATCTTTAACATTTGGAGAAGTGACATTCCCCAACTAGTTTCAAACGTGAACTATTTAGTCTTAAAATATATTTTGCAGTTAAATGCGTGATATATGTAGATAATTTTATCCTTCTCATAAAAACTGGCCTGAATTATCGCTTAAAAAAACGATTCTATAAACTTTAGGTAACTAAATATACATATACGAAAAATCCTCTTTATTAGCTATTGACCACCTGAAAATAATAATAGTTGTTACATGCTAAAGAGGGTCTATTCATTGCTATGAAATCTGAATTGACAATTTGTTCTGAAAAGTTTGGAAAAACAAAATACAGTGGTATCTTTATATAAAATTAGCATAAGCGTTGAAGTATTAATTACTTAATACGTATCACATAAAATAATTTATAAATAAGATGCTTCATCAAACTTAATCTATTTTAAGACCCATCAATTCCAATGCATAATTTCCTTTTTTTCCAGAAGGTCCGGAACTGGGTCTATGATACTTGAAGGTTTCATTGGGATCAATAAATCGAAGAAATCATTAGTTGATTTTGAGATTTTACATATGAATCAGGTCAAAGCAACAATATTATTTCAAAAGTGTTTTTTTAAAAAGAGGATTCATTCAAGTCAACTATCTGATTCATAAATCTTATTCATTAAATCTCTTTAATAGTGCATAAACAAGCAGCAAATTTACCTAATAGTTACAACCAATGTTAGACGTTTCGATACGACTCGTAACTGTATCTCTTTAATATACCTTTCTGTTGTGGATGCGAAGGATAGACCAATAATTATCACGTTAAGTCCAATGGCGTCCTTGAACTTTAAATGGACATTTCCTACTGGTCGATATCTGTCCACTTGTTGAATATTGTACAAAATGTTGTTTTCTATTTTTTATGGTACGATGTGGTATGTTTGGTTAGTATATAAATAGAGTATGTCTGAAATACAATGATTCATAACTCAGAGGCTGAGATTTGTGTTCTGGACTCAACTGGCTGGGATAGACAAGGAATCAGAACCAATCGTAACTCTAGGTCGTCCAGTACGTTCGTACGTGTTCACGTGTCATTGAATCGGTCGATAAATACGCTGCTCTCCAGTTTTTTTAGTCAAGGACACAACAATTAGCACAGGGTAAAAAGCAACCTCAACTTGAAGTCACAACACTTTCTTATATATATTATAAGGTATATTAACCCTAAACTAATTACTTATTCATTAATTTAAATACTTTAAGTTTTATTTCATGTAAAATGTAACATGCTAGAACAAATGAAAATTAAATGATTCCTTTCAATTTCATCAGTACTACATGTTCTTGAATTGTTTCATTGAATAATACTGATTGTTATTCTAATAATATTCTTCATTAAGAAATGAAAAATTATAGTTTTGCTATAAGATATATATTTAACGTGTTGAATGTTTACTATATTTTCATTTATGACTATTATGTAACTATTTAGTAAAGATAAATAAAAATTACTTAATAAACTAATGGTATTATTGTAGCATTTCATTCAAAGTGTGTATATACACTAAAAGAAAATTGATCAGTTATAGTTCATGGCATCAAAATCGAAGTGATTATGGATACTTATCAATGAAACAACAATTAATTAGCTTATATAATAATAATAATAATAATATGAAATTCATACAATAAAACAATACAACTTACACTATTTCTTATAATTATAATTTTGTATATTTTAATAAATTAATTAACAATGTCTTGAAAGAATCAGTGTATCTGTTCTATTATAAATATAATAAAACAACTATAAATAGTTTCTTATGTGTTTAATGCCACACCCTAGTGTTAGAATATATCTTATGAGAAAATATATAAGTTAACATTCTTTATAGGTTTCATATTACAATTGAATTTATGTCAATAGAATATAACAGTGTCAGTGTATATTGAATACCTGTTTCATATATATATATATATATATATATATATATATATATATATATATATATATATATATATATATATATATATATATATATATATATATATATATATCTGTTGAGCTTGTCTTCCTTTTACATGACAGATAATTCATTGTACATATGTACATGTGAACTAAAACTTGATTTTTATTTAGTTAAGAAACAGTATGTTAGTTTCTATTTGATTTTTCTTTTTGATTCATGCCTTTTATTGATATTTCTTTTTTGTTTTTTTGTTTGTTTTAACATTTCACTCATCAGATGAGATATTTATTTGTTTATAACTTTGGAATTTTATTGAATAACCTCATTCAATAACAATCAAATACATATGAGTTATTTAATTCCAATTTTGTTCATTGGAATAATCTACATTATTTGTTGTCTGAATGTGTATATATTTTTTTATAATGTAAACTAAACATACCAGACAAAAAAAGGGCAGTTCATAGATTCAAATTTTAGCTATTCTGTAAAAGAAATATATATATATGCGTATATAGATAGATGAGTGAAAAACTATCTTGGCTTAAATAAAAGTAATATCTATCTTTTTAAAATTGATCGATATATTTTCACTCAATGAAGATCAGTGATTTGAGTAAAAAGTCAAATTAAAGTCATATACTCAATATTCATAATGAATAGGACTATTACATGGAAACTAAACTATTTTCTCATTATCAGAAGGGGTTTGTGGAGATTTTAGAAATTTTCACAGATTTAAATCATGAGTCAGTTGAAGCTAGACCACCATTGAAAACCTGGAAGCACTGGACGGCCGTTTCGTCCTAGTATGGGACTCCTCAGCAGTGCGCATCCACGATCCCGCACCACGCGGGGCTCGAACCCAGGACCTACTGGCTTTGTTTTATTACTTAAATAAAGAAATATGAGCTTAATAAGGTACTTTTATATAAAAAATCCGGACAATTGGAGCATATAACACAACACATAAACCAGTGCTGGTCAAATGCATTTCTCTTTGTATTATTTCGATTTTACTAATAAGATTTTATGATAGAATAAATTAAAACAGTCTACTTATTTGTTTGTTAGTGAATTATATTAAAATTTTATCAAAATATTTAAAAGACAGGAAGTTGAAATCATTGTTTAAGAAAAACTGTATATGTAAATATAATTGCTATGTGGTCAAGAATACAATCTAGAACTAAGGGTTTTTCTTACTTATGAGTAATCAGTTAGATGCGCCTGCATCTTACTGCTGATGGTTATACTGGACATCTGAAATCACTAACTCAATGGATATTGTATTAGATGTATGAACAGAAGGATAGTGTGTTTAAGTTTTAACGGAAACATCAAAACTTGAATTCAGTTTCATCCACCTAACTCGTTCCAAAGAGGAAGAAGCACATGTTCTAGATTCCACTCCTTGAATAAAACCAAATAAACTTTATTGAATCATCAGCTATAGATAAATTATATTAACGACTTATTGCTTTAATGACCGTGAATATAATAAACATGTTTTAAGATACTTTGTCAATGGAATGAAAAAACAGAAAGACCAAGAGCTAATTCTTTATTTTGTCGGAATATTTTGTTAACCATCATACCTTTATAATATGTGGGAAACACTTTAAGAATATTGTTTTCACCATTAAGGGAAGTGCTATAGAGCTTTGTCTATTTTTGTTCACAACTGACACCAAATTCTTTCTCTTTTGTACAACAGTTACACAGATGATGAAAAAAAAAGAAGTTATCATAGTGACTACTTCTTATATTAAGAGCGCTAATGGTGTACAGACAAACTCTATCATTTCATAAATTATATTTTAATTTTCGATATCTTATTGAGTTTCCATTAAGATGTTATGTTTCGGGATTTGTTGTAGAATATCTTATAAAAATAGAATAGAAATAACATTAAACAAGAATGGTTGGTGCTCAACAATAATTTTCTCTAACATAATAAGTAGATATGAACACTAATAAAAATACAATGAAATGTATGTTGAAATAAGTACTTACAAGATTTTATTTTGAAAATTTAAAACATTATTCCGTTAAATCGTTTAAACATTGTCCATTCTTTTAGCTTACTTCTACTTTGACAATAAACATTACAATTATTATTATTATAAGACATTTATCCAATCACAAAGTTCAACATGATCAGAAACACAATATGACCTTCAGACCACCAATCAAACAGTTTAAATTTACATTTATTGCTCAATTGTATTTGTTGGTGGCCTACTTTACGTAAACGAATTTCATATGTCATGAAATTACTAAACAGTTCATCTACCTACAATCCAATTATGAGTCGAAACATTTCAAGTAGAAACTTGTTTTACATGTATTTAAATTTTAATGTTATTAAGTCAAGACTAGAAAAAAGAAATTTCCACAGGGTCATATAAGTTTCTCAGGAACAATTGTGAACTGGAAAAAGGGAAATTTTACTTTTAATATCAATAATTTAGTGGTTGAGATAGTTTTAAGTGGAAGAAAACACATGGCTCATGAATAGTTAAGTATTAGAAAACTATGTTGTTTTCAAAAGAACGGCGTATCAGTACATTTCCAATGATTAATTGGCACTATTTCGTGAATATTTAATGAGTGATCTATATTCTGCATATTATATATCGTTTAATAATAAAATTCATGACTAAAGGCTGAAACATTTCGGTATTCGAATAAGATTTTCAGTTATTCAAACTTCCATTGAATTATTAAGTAAAACAAAAAATATGTAAAAGTATATCAGAAATTTTGTCATATTTATCAGAGATTTTGGACAAACTGTCTCTTGAAGCTAATGACTTAATTTCTCTTATGTGTTTATTCAGATAACTTGCTGAATTATATTTTATTTTGGCGAATTAATTATTGAAATATATTTAAATTGCCCCCAAATGACCTGGTACGGCCGAGAGTGGGGAGAGTCCGCTCTCCCTCTCGAAATGTTCTCACATGGCCACGCATATATAGCCTCTGCCAAGGAAGTCCTACTCACTGCCTTCTCGTGGCGGGGGTGCGGTTTACGAAAATGAGAGGACGAAAAGCGATGGTGCACATGGGCTCCAGTATCCTGCGGGAACAAATGGCGTATGAACCAATTGTTGGTCACCGGCATCCATGGGACTGCATCTCCTCACGATGTTCCACTGCCTTGTGGATCAGACCCTCAGGTCGAAGGCTCGGGGTGTAGCTCCCTAAGAAAACCACCTGCTTCGGTTTGGGCACCCGGGCAGTATCACAGCCCTCACACATAGCGAATGAGATTTGTGTGGCGCCTATGTATTTGATGCCCCTTTGTACCAATATCTATGTGTTGAAACAAATAAATAAAATATTCAAATTAAACAAACTCTCCCTAATCTTGTATCTAGATTCGTTAGTGCTCGTTCATTGTTATTTTAATCCAGAAATCTGTGCTAGTTCTGTAAAACACTCGGTAATTTCTTTATTTTTGGGAATTATGTTCTCTATGCAGAAAAGAGGTGTTCTATGTTTAGTAAGCTTAGATTTTCGTGTGGAATATGTTAGTGTGCTTAATTTATTAAGCCCCTACTTTAAAATAATAGAGTGCATAGTGAGCTCGTGATCTATTATTATTATCAAATAACAGTTACTGAGAGATGATAGTTTTGATGAGACAAAACAAACGAAAGACAAACAAACAACAATACATTGTTAAGATTAATTAGAGTTCCATATAATACCATTTAAACGAACTGTATCAGTTAAATACTGAAAATTAATAGTTTACAATTAAATGATATCATCTACTACATCTGATAGACCTTTTTTTAAATTCTTTTGAGTAGGCATGAATGTATACTTCAACAAGGAACATCACCTCTATCATTTTTTAAAGTGTTAATTTAAATTTTCGTCAATATAAGTAACTCTTCAAAGTAACTTATACTAATTGCTAGTAATTAACGAAAATCAGAGCCTTTATCCTGAAACCTTTAAATGATCATCTCAAAACTAAATACAGAGCACTGAAATACTGTTTCATATTTATTTTATATTATTAACCATTTATTGAATATAAGTGATAACTGAAAGGCAGCTACTAATGGTTTTTTCCTATAGCTTTTTTGATAGAACTAATAAACACTGTCCGAAATAAGCACTATACAAAGCATTCATTAACATTCTGTCAGTAAAAGATAATACCGCTTAAGTTAAATGAGATTTAAAAGATAGTAGTGAATATTGCACAATGAAATGAGTTTTATTTTTATTCGATAGCACTTGTTTTACTAAAAACTGGTATTAATTATAATCCAGTCATTTAAGCAAAATCACTGATTGTTACAATCTTGAATAATGTAAGCCCTTCTCTTTGAAATTTCAGTTAGATTCATACTTGCTCTTCAGTTAGTTTTTAGAAGAATACAGACATTCACTAACATCTCATAAAGATTTCCGACATATCTACAATTTCAAAAGCTATAAGTCGGCAGAAGTTTGCATTGTTATCTGAAAACATATTACGGATGAAACTATTCTTACAAGTCTCATAGTATTGCTTTCTCATTTAAATAAATTTCCTTACCTATATGTAATTTGTCTGTTCATTCATCTGACGAGCTTTTTTGGAAGTTGTCAAAACTATGATATTCGAATAAAAGCTTGTACTGTATTTGTTTAACAAACCTGCACTCATGAAGAGTAAGTGAATTAAGTAAATAGAATCTTTAAAATATTAGCATGTAGATGATATCATGCTATGTCTTGTGACGTATTTAATTGTTTTTATAATCGTGAATATCAGTATCTTTCATTTTACAAGAATGACAAATTGTGGTATTTGTACCAACTGATGGTTCTTCTGTGCTTGACTGCGCGCTTACAACGAATTGCAAATATTATACGTACATTTGTACTCATCTTGTTTTACCTACTTTTAATTGCTCTATTTCGGGAATTCTTAGTTGGAAAATCAGTTTGATTACTTCTACTTTGTATAAATACACTTTTGCCAACCTTCGGATGGAAGAACGTTGTTCCCGTCTCGTCTGACTCATTGTTCAGGAATATGACCTTCAGTATCATCAGTTCTGGGACTTTGAAAGTAAGTACAACAGTTCCAAACGAAGTGAGTGAACAGTTACCTTAAATTATCAATCATGACTTAAACCTGAATAATGTTTCAGGATGTATTCGAAATTCAAACCAATTTTTTATCAAGAAATGTCTCAAGTAGTAAGCACATAATGTCAGTGGACTTAAATTAAACTGTGCAATTTGTAATACTGTGGGAATCTAATCTGTTTATTGATAAGCGTCGATATTAAGTATACTAATAAGGAATCTAAGTAATTCGCTACTCCAAACGGGAACTGGATCTTTCGACGTGGACTATTAGATCTCATTTTGTGAACTCACTTAGAATGTCCTCTCATATGATCAGTTCTGGATGGAAAGGAAAGATGTGTTTGTATGTACTAGTGATTGACTTGAACTTTATGACTACCTGATTTGAAATTTCAAATATAATACACTTGTTCGTGTTCATCTAGTTCATCTTAGTTAAATTGCGTTCTTTCTAGAATTCTTAGTTTGTATAATAATTCGAATACTTCATATCATCACAATGTTGTCGAATGGAGCCTGTGATAGAATGATTGGACATACTTTCAGATTTCCATGGTTTTGAGAATTATATGGAAAGGTCCAAATTCTGTACTATGGCCAAGTAAGATGTTGAGGATGTTAATATTGTGGCTCATTTTCTTACTTAAGCATACAGCTTATTAAAAACTGTGGCACATCCAGAAAAGCTTATCTCACTTCCTTATGCAGCTCTCAAGGAACTACTACTAGACCATGTAAGGTGTAAAAACTTTGATTGCTGCAAAGGAGAAAAACTTCATAAAATGATTCATAAGAACATCAAAAATTCTACTACATTACTACGCCATCCCAATCCAACAATCAAGGTTATGCAGATAACAATTCATTGAAGAGTAGTGAAGTAGGTCACGAAGATAAGCACAAGTTTGGCAAATGTTTGTCATGTGGCAAAATTTACTTATATAATTAATGTGTATTTTGTCATGATAAATGCTTTATATGTGCTAAAATCGGACACTAAGAGGCTGTCTGTAAAACTACTAATTATTTCGCTGCAGCTAACGCTAAGCTCTTTAACTCTAATCCAATTTAGTTGAATGTTCCAAATGAATCGTACTCTGACCGGATTCATAATATTATTTCACCAGATATACGTTGTTCTCATGATTCATGTATTCACAATGAAGTTTCAGGCGTGATCATTGTTTAGTGTTGTTATGTACTTTTTACTCATATCAAATATATTGTTCTATCTCTGACCTAAATGTGTTCTTTATCATATATTGATGATTGTTACGATGCGATGAGTTGGTGTAGATAATAATGTGGCTTCCACGTAAGATTTTATGCATTAGGCAGTTACATCATGACAAATCTAAAATTTTGAGATTAAGTCTATTTATGGAGCGATACTAATAACGAAGTAGACCATAATTTCACATATACACGTCCCAAGTATTTGAAATTTTTTTTTAATACCTTCAAAAAGCGAAATCCTCACCCATAATCTGGACCCAGTCTTTCATTGGATCTATTAACATGACATTATTGTAAACATTTATAAATGCTTAACCATATTTTCTCACTTTTCTCGGTAACACCCTTGTCGTTCTGGGCATTGGCTATCCGAAGAGCAAGGTGGTTGCTATCCTGAAATACCCGGTATACTGTTGCATGTTTACCGCTATAGAGTCATTACGAATCAAGAATCCACTCGTTACTCAGTTTTGCTTAATGTAATATTACGTGATGTACATTTATGAAACTATATTTTCCGAGTCAAGGTGAAAATTTGCTAACGGTAGGTAAATTTGTTAACTACCTTCGTCTCTGACTGGCCAACGAGAATATAGGAGTTTGTGTTAACCAAGAGAACTTAGGATATTCGATCATCGCTTATGGCCATTTGCGTTATGATCTAAATATGTCATTGGTCTGATCGGCATAAACGAACTTTTTTGCGTGCTCTATATTTCAGTGATAACATTAAGTGAATACATGAAAAGCCTGAA